TCAGAGGGGACAAACCAGCATACTTGAAAGACAGGCAGAAATTGCCCAGGCAGAAAAAGAGAATGAGAAAYATATCACATCCGGAGATACCCTGACCTGCTACCGGGAAATCCACCTGCTGCACAGACACAGCCAGATCAACGGGATGGAGACGATCCGTGCTGCTGGCCAGGCAGGTGCAGCTGCCACACTGAGGCCAGGGGTCTCTGTCTCACCCCCAGACTTGCAAAACAGGCACACTCAGGTGCTTTGCCTCAGAGGAAGAGGGGTCAGGATGTCTTAAAGCAGAAGTGGGGTGCAGGCAGCAGAATTGTCTGGCTCTATGTCCAAACATCACCAGTACGTGGGTCTCACGTTTCCTAGGTCTATGACTACAGAAATAGTGGACTTTGATGTGCTGCTACAAAGAGATTGAATGAATTGGAAATACTTCTCGTTGAAGCTATATTACTAAATGTCATAATGATAATTCACCAAACAGCATCAGCACAGATGCAAACACCTCCTTCTTCCCTTGTCTCTAAGAAGCAACTCTATCCTGCCTCCTAAAGCTCAAGAGTTTCCTGCTTACAACCAAAACATGAACTCCCTGGTGTCTCCATCAGTCACTCCCTATATCTGATCAAACCAGGAGAGATCAGAGCTCTCCAAAGAGGGCACAGCCAGAGGAAGAACAAAGGGAACAGCAGGGCTACACAAGCTGCTCCTTTGTTAACCCACTGGGGAGACTGCACTGGGAAGCTTAAAGGCAATCATCAGCCAACCTTCTCCTAAATGTTCACTGAATCCTCCTCGGAAATCACTTCCCTTGAGCACCCAAGGGGCCAAAAGAGGCTAAGCCTGTCCAGGTAAATTCCCTTTACAAGGACTGCAGCACAGTGTCTTCTTAGAAAGTATAAGTGAACGGAGCTGGGGCAGGGTGGGGTGGGAATCAGGAGCAGACGGGATGCTCCAGAGCAAGACAAGGAGGGCACTACTCCCTGCAAAGCGAACAATGTGCTCAGACACTGCACATAGCTAGCCTCTCCAGGCCATCGGTCTCCAAAGTGCTCTTTGTCACACATCCCTTTGCAACACCCTGTCTTGGCCCCTGACAGAGCTACAGCATCAAAGCCAGACTCGCAGAAGAAGCAATCCTCCAAAGCTGAAAATAAGACCCCTTCAAGGACTTGTCCTGAAGTGGGAACTCACACCAGGATACTACGCCGCCAGAAAGTCATTTACGTGCCTGTCATCATGCTCTGTGCAAGATGAGACCGGCCCGGACATCAAGCTCCCAAATTTCCTAGGACTCCAGCAAAAAAAAAGGCCAAATTCAACCYCTCACACACACAGCTACAGATGAGGCTTCTCTATAAATAATAAGCAAAGTTATACAGATGCCAAACCGTGCCAGCAGCGGCACCGGCCAGAAGGGCTGGCAGGAGGCGCACCCTTCCCGGCCTGGCAGCAGGATGGCTCGGGTCGGCAAGGAGCCCTGTTGCTCCGCGCACCGCCGCCCGCAGACCCCGGGTCGGAGGCCTCCGGCCGCGGGCCGGCCGCCGGTCCGCCACACCCCGCAGAAAATCCTGCCGGCAGCTCGCTGCAGTAACAACCCGGCGCTACCGGGGAGCGAGAACTCTGCCTGCCGAGTGCGCGACCAGCACCGGCTGCCCCGGCCGCGGCCAGCGGGAACGCCCCGCTCCCGCCGCACGCACCGGGGGATGCCCAAGAGCCGCGGCACCGGGCGGCCAAAGCATCCCCCGGCCGTCGGTGCCCCCGCGGCTGCGGGCGGCGGCCCCAGCTCCGCACAAAGCGGGGTGGGGCCGGCAGGAGCTGCGGCACCCCCGGCGCGAAGCGGGCAGAGCGGGCGCTGCTCCCCGCTCCCCGGCACCGCGGCGCTCCGCAGGCCCCGAGCTGCGGCAGGTGCCTGTGCCGGCCGCGCCCGCGGGTGTCCCGGCCCCATTCCCATGATGTCCCGACCCCACTCCCGGGTGTCCCGGCCCCATTCCCATGATGTCCCGACCCCACTCCCGGGTGTCCCGGCCCCATTCCCGCATCACCGCCCGCGCTCTCGTACCTTGCCGCTGGCGGCGGGGGTCTGGACGTGCGCACGGGAGCCGCGCCGCGCCAGCCCGACCAGCCCGCCCGCGGTCCCCGCCCCGGCCCGCCCCCAGCGCCGCGCCCCGCAGCCGGGAGGTGCCGCCGGGCACCGGGGCTGCCGCTGGCCCCGCAGAGCTCCGCGGGGCCTTCTCGGGGCGGTGCCCGGCCCCTGGGCGCAACCTGCCGTGGCCGGCGAGGGTGTGCCCCAGCGCTGTGGCGGGGAGAGCCCCTCCGCAACCATGGCAAGGTGTTCAAGCGCCTCTCCGCTACCCTGAGCTTGGGAGCCAGCCCACCCCGGCCGACGTGCGCCATTCACCGTCACCATCCCCTCTGGTGGGTCCCCGAGTCTGTACCCGGAGGCACATGGTGAAGGGTGGGTGCGCCATCCTCCTACGAGATGGACCTGACGGCATCGGGACTTTGCCATCACTTGCAGAGAGGGTACCACGGGCCTTGCATTGGCTCAGCTTCTGAGGAGATGGAGCGCTGTGCCGTATCCTCAGCGCGACCACCAGGTACCGCTCATCATGAGCACTGCACACATCCCTGCAACACGTATGAATGTGCCAGCCTTAGCTGGCAGCCTCTGGCTGTCTCAGCAGTCCCTGGCAAATGGAGAGACACTAGCTTAAAGCTGTAGGGCCCTTTCTGATGGCAAGTGGCTTTAGAAAGCTTCTCACAGACTTCATACTCTGACTTTGGGGTCAGCTGGTACCTTGGCAGCTACAACTACAACTACAAACCTCCCTGGTGCCCTGAATGAGGAACTTGATAAGTAGGCAGTGATGCCCAAGATAAACGGCAGAGGAGGTTTCTCTGGCCAGGTGAGACCCTCAACTAAAACTGCTCTGGTCCTGTCTGATTAATCAGAATCTGAGACAGATAGCTCATCTACATGCTTTAGCCCCAGCACACTGTGGGTAGCAGAGGCAGCCCTGGGCTGAGCCAGCAGCTGTGACAAGACTGTGAGACTCAGTGTCCTACTCAAGTAAGATGCTGCAGATCAGTGTAAGGGACCAAACAGAAAAGCAAATGTGTCCAAACGATAGGCTGGATGCTGTTACCAATTGTACTATTTATCAAGAAACTGTATATCAACCTCAGCAGACTTAGGTATAGGCAGAGGGGATGGAGGCCACAGGAACCGTTCCAAAAAATACCTCAAACACTCTCAACTGAAGCAACTGAGGAAACAACAGGCAAGATAGCAAAGACTGAAATCAGTAGAGCAGTAAGAACAGCKGACAGTGCTAAGACAGTGAGGCAGGAACTGTGTGTGTGTCCTTCCCTGAAAGGTAATTCTATCAAGAGGAGATCACCAACCCAGTGACCACTTCCTCACTACAAACCTTAACTCTAGTAAAAGAGGACACTGCATGTGAAGTCATTAGCATGCCTGTCAGGATACCTAAGTCCTTTTGGAGAAGGAATATTACACCCTTGAAAAGRGCAGATACACTGAATTCTTCAACAGTGTTGAGCAGAATTTCAGAATCAAACAGCAGCCCCTAATTCTTTATCCTTCACTAGCAGGTGCCAGCCTGGCACATCCCAAGGGACTGGCACACTTGAGCATATACACCACCACACAGCTGTTGAGGAGCAATGTCCAGTATGGAGCACAGGAAGAAATTCCTGTGGACATGAATTGTGAACATTAATGCAGCAGGTATCCTGGGCCTGCCCTGCCTACAGGAATTGAGATGGCTTCTGGTACCCCTGTGGACCCTTGCAGTGTGTGCTCCCATATTAACCATGGAGCAGTACAAGACAGGTCAGATATTGATGCACAGATGATCTCCAGTGCTTCCTTTCACCATGCGTGCTCCAGGCCTGATTAAGCTGTAGGAGATTGCATGCAGGACTGACAGAGTGACAAAGATGTTTTTGTTTAGGATTATTGGGGGGAAAGGTTTCTTTTGCCTACAGTCCTGTCCCCTGTAGGCATCTGGCTGTGCTAGTCATGTGCAAGTGCCATTCCTGAGCTGGTTTAGGTGCTGACAAAGTGAATGGTTTTCCTCCCCAGTCCCCTTTGCAGTCTAGAACTGGGACTGGGGTATCCATGGTGATTAGTGTGAATGCTACTCTCTGTCTTCTTCCCTGGGACTTCTCAACTGGTCATCCAGCAGTAAGAGCCTGTTGAGCAACTGTGCTGCTGACAGCCTCTGTCCACAGAAGTGGCTTGTGGCAAAGAGCATGGCCACACAACACTGCTCCTGCTGTGTAAGGGGCCTCCAGCAGCAACGTTAGTGCTTTCTGTTGAGATCCAGCAGCAGAAGTTGGAGCAGCATGCTGTGTAACTCTATCATCCTACACCATTACGTGCCAAAATTGTGCCAGAGGCAGGCTGGTGTCCCACCTGAAYGTTTCTTCCTGGCCCCTGCAAAATAATGAAAAGTGGAATGCTACCTCTACCATATGAAAGAGAGCCTGACAGCAGTGCAGAACACAACCATTATTAGCCAGAAACCATGTGCACCATCTCAACCTGTGGCAAGCCGCTACAAAAGCAGAGCCAGCACCTGTTGCTGCTGGTTTGCATTGCAGGAGCTACATCAGCATGGCCACATTCATAGTGTCTGTACAGCAATGGATGAAGCACCTCAACTAGCTGGCACTGCTCCCTGGGAGCAGGATCCTGACTGGCATGGAGAATTTGCAGAAGTGGATGAGAAGAGACAGAAGGAAGCCAGTTTTTGGAAGATGCAGCAAAAAGTATCAATTGGTTTCAGTTTTGTTTTGGACTTTTCCTCCCTGCAAAATGCTACCAATAAACAATTACTTGTCTCCTAATAAAATCACTTTATAAAATAAAAAATATAGGCATTTTTTCAGCAGGGAATTATGATATTGGACTGAGTACTATTTTTTTTCTCAAATTATAAGGACAGTAGAACAGTACAACACTTTACTCTTACCAAATAAAGGGAACAATGTAGCCTCGGAGAAGAAGACAAAACAAGTCATGCAAAACGCAAGCAGGATGCCAGCTCAGCTTTGCAAGGGTGACAAAACAGAAGTTATGCAAAGCAACAATATTGCTCTTACTCAAAATGGGGGTCGAGGTACAGCCACCTGAAAAAGACACCAGAATTGAAGACAAACCCCAATGAACCATATAAAGACTTCAAATAAAGGGTGAAACTATGTTAAATAAAGTAATACACATACATCAAGTGAACAGGTATAGCCAATGAATGTGTCAGCAGCATGTATAATAAAAACTCACAGTTTTAAACATTTACCCAATGTTTGGGGCACTCTATGAGGGGAAGGAAGCTCTCAGTGGTCAGTGCACTGCAATAAAGAATGCTGCTTTTTAATGCTCAAAACTGTGTTAGACAGTTTTTATATGGCAAATTTTGGTATCACGAGAGGGCTTGAAATTTAATTCTACTTACCCTGGATACTGCTCCAAGGCTCTAAGCTTCCAAGAGCTTGACACCAGAATGTGCCAGAGGTTTTGTATCATTAAAATTAAGTTCAAAACCAGAGCAGATATAGATCCAATAGCTAGAGTCTCTAAGGCAGACTTTGCCCTTGGCAGGAAGCTGTCATTTAATAACAAGGAAAAATAAGGACTTTGTCTCAATGGTAGTGGACCATGTACCCAAAGCAAACATCTGGCTGCAGCAAAACAAGACACTGCTCATCCCAAATGTGTCATGGTTAAGGATACGTTCTCTGCAACTGACTAACCTGGTGCACTGTTTTCCCCCCTGGAGAGTTCCTGAGGTTGAGTAAAAAGCACAGAAATAATTTCATGATTTAGCATCTCAGTGCAGGCCACAGCCTCTCACTGATCTCCAGGAACAGGGTTAAATTACTCGGATGGCATATTATATCAGCTCCAGCACTGTGGCTCTGTCACGAGAAAGTGGTTTGTCTTCTTGCACTTGGCATGTCTGTAGACCAGACAAAGCTAATGTTTTGTAAAGGAGCTCTTAGCACTGGGAGACGGCTGGAGGAGTCTCAGCATTGTCTCAGGCCACAAGTGAGCTTTAAATGGGAACAGAGCAAGCCCCAGGCCTTGTGTCTGTGACAGTGGCAGGAGGTTGCCCTGTCTGCAAACTGGAAGAGAAGCTCAGCTCAGTGGTATAGCTCCTGCTACAGGTGTTGTTGCATCCCACCCATGGAAAATGCCTCGCCCCTCAGCTCTCACCTTCACCCTGGATGAGAAGCTCAAACTTAGACTAAACATTAACCCAGAAACAATCTCCCCAGTAGTGCCTCTTACCAGGGCAGCATGCCAGGATACAGGGCTTAGCCACAGCGTATAAAGGTATACATCCTGTCAGCCCAACACCACCCAGACCAAAAAGGGATGAAGAAGGAAAGCTTCACAGCCTCTTCTTGTTGGCAGCTCAGGGACTTACTGAGCCAAAAGTGGCTTTATGTGTGTTTGGCACCCCTCCATCACTTTATCCTCTCAAACGCCATAAACTTTTGGTGGCCCCAAGATCCTGCAACAAGGTGAACTACAAATTAATGGCACATCATAGGGAGGAGGGTGGGTGTGAAAATCAAAAACATCCTTTTTAGGGTTGGAACTGCCATCCCAAGGTTTATGTCTCTACCCAGAGACATAAAGCTAATCTCACAAGTAACATTATGCATACAGGAAAGCTCAGCAAAGACTGTCTCTGGGTAGAAAAACACCTGTTTTATCCACAGGCACCAGCACAGGCAGAAGGAGCTGCTGAGCTGCATAACCAGGTCAAACTGTTTCCCAGCCACAACAGTTTAGAGTGGCAGCACAAATCATTCTTCATACAGAGGTAACCTCTGCTCAAAACACCCCTGACACCAACTGATAGTCACTATAGGTTTTACAGAGCCTGAGGGATTTGGGCAAAGTTAACCTCTGGGCCCAACGAGAATCTTGTGACCTGAGTTCAGTTCTTTTCAGTACTACTGAAGTTTGTGAAGCAGAAGGAAAGTAAATGAGTGCCCATGAGGACATGCTAGCTTGGCTCCAAGGTGCAGGTCTGCACAGGTCTCTCATATATTCCTGCATCCATCACATTTTAATAMCAAATAACCACAAGTGCCTGGTTATAAATATGACTAAGGAAATAGCCCTCAGCAAACACATGCAGACCAAAACCAAGAGCTGATTAAGACACAAAATAAAATTTGTAACAACCCTGAGATGCCCTTCCCTTCTGATTTCAATCAAAAATTACTTTCAGAATTCTCTACCAGGGTTAATAACTTGGTCCTTATCTCTGCTTCGGGTACTTTATGTACCACATAACACATATTGTAGTGTTTATTATATACTGTAGACATACATCAGGCTATGATTTAGTCTAATAATACATGTTTCAAATGCCTTTTAAATAAACATAAGGAAAAGTCGGAGGAAAAATTTTTAAGCTGTTACAGCAAGCTCTACAAAATAAAATTGTAAGAAAACTGGTTTTCATGGCCTTGATTTAAAAGATGATGTCTGTAACAATAGCAAAAATCTATGTACACCCATGAACATAAGAGTATAAATAAATTAGATTAGCAATATCATCTGTGAAGCAAAACCTTCTGCTTTTTAGGSTTCCCTAACTAGATGGCATAGTTTTAAAATTAGTTCATTTTTTTCAGATATAGTGGTAAGCTTCCAGCAACATTTTCTTCTCATTCCACACTTTCAATGTGTGCAGCTCTCACTGATATTCAGGGGATCTATTCACTCTTCCCAAAATTTCATTTCCACTTCGATTACTGTGTGGTTGCCTCCACAAGTCTCTCCCATCTTAGTCTTCCGTAATTCATTGAAACTGACTGACAGTGAGGCAGACCATGTGTCTCAGGCGAATAGACACTGTTTCCACTAGAGTCTGTCATCTTGACTACAGCCCACCAGGATGAGAACACTGTGGGCTATGAATGTGTCCTTTCCCTTCCTCGGCAAGTACTGATAACTTGAAGGTCTGGGTTATCAACCACAAGGAGGCACAATCCACTTGTGTTCAAGGTCAGTCAAAAAACGTAGAGCAGAGCTCCCATTATAGCAGGGTCTGCTTCATGCTGTCARTGTCAGCACTGCAGGCATACCTGGAATAATGCACCACTCAGCAGGAAAGAGGAGCAACAGGATCTGTCATCGTGTTAAGGAAAATAAGTTGTATTTCTAAGTACTTGACTCATCCTGGGTCTGTGGAGACCTGAGCTGCACAAGCAGGGTATCTAGGGCAGGAGGTGGGCAAGTCTAGGAGGCAGGGGAAAAGGTTATCAGACCCCATTCCCAGAGACAGGTAGGGCATCTCTGTGTGCTCAACCAAGTAGTAATGTCTCCCTTGTTTCATGGGACATTAATGGTTTTTACCAAAGAATATCAAGTCATCTTTTGTGACCTTGTTCCCAGGGTTTGCAGGTTCACCAACAGCCATATGCCATGGGTAAAACACCTTCAATATTGTAAACTCCTACAGAAAAGACCTTGTTCCTCCCATAATAAATGGGAATTAGAGACAGGGATATCAACATAAAAGTCCAGCATAGAAGGAGCATATTTGTGGAGCAAAGATGGCCAGGAGTGAGGCTATCACAAGACCCAGTTATCCCCAATAAAATTCATATAACACTAGGCCCTGCACGCTGCCAGGCTGTGATTGGTTTCACACAGAGATGAGAGTTCCTCGGTTGAGCAAACTCACCAGCACAGAATGCTGCAGGGCCTCAAAGCTAAACAAAGAGGGGAGAGAGCTCCCAAAATTTCCAGTCAAGGAGGCGACACATCTTGTGCTCCCATGAACTTCCACAGGAACTAAACTGGAGAAGCAACTCTACTGTCCCACAGCCTGTTTCCTTTTCTCAACCTGAGACCCATGGGACAATGTCCTCCAGCTTTCAGGACCTCCCCAAACCTAACACTCATCTGGAGACAGTGTCTTGACTCAATAACAACATTAAACACACACTTTTCTGGCAAGCTAAACTCTGAAGGCACCACACTCTCAAAGAGCAAGTTTTTTTCCTGACCCATTCAGAAGCTCTAGGTACCTATGAGGGAATGCTCATTATTTCTGGAGATTTTACTTGTACATAAAGATCTCATTCAAACCTCCATCAGAAAATGTATAAAAGTACTGCTTCAATTCGTGTCATGGTACCACAAGTGAATTTCCTCTGCACCCTCAGCTGTAATCCTGAACTGCAAAGGGCAGGATGGGCTGAATGGGGAGAAGTGCAGAAGGGGATAGAATTCCTCTGACTCCTTCCAATTCATTATAAAGTGTGACTTGATCTCCAAATGGTTCCATAACTACAGCCTTGCTTTCTGGAGCAGATAAACTCCTGTGACCCCACTTCACATTCTGGTCCATTTCTTATTGACAGCTGCTACTGATGACCTTCTGCAAGATGGGAGGGAAGTGATGATGAACACTCTTTTTGTCAGATCTCTTCTTCCTCTTCACTAGCAACCTCCTTCGGGTCCTGAGGTCCCTGCTCTGCCCTCTCTTTTACGTAGGCTGCCTTGATCTGTTCGAGTTCACACAGCTCTGCCTCCAGCTCTTCCCTGTGCGCTGACCGACGGTTCCTCAGCAGTTTCATGGGAAAGGGGTTTAAATCATTGAACGCAATGTTCATCAGCTTCCTGCAACAGAAAGYACAGGTCTAGTCAACTTATTTACTGGCTGATAACACATGGTAACAGATACACCAAGACCATCCTGGGGTATTAAAGAGCAGGACATCAGACTTCAGCTCTCTGAGCTCAGAAGTCAGCAAGCAGCAGGGTCTTAAAGGAATTGCTTCCCACACAAACACCAACCCAAGCAGTACTTCACATACCATCCAACCCTTTCAGGCATCAGTGTGCAGCCATCATTTAAGAGACAGTGGATCAGATTCTGATGGCCTCTCAGGGAAGAATACTCCTGATATTAAGCTCTTCTGGTAACAGAAATCATCTTACACACCTGTTGCCATTAAAGGTCATGGGCTGTGCTGTGTTCCCAAACACCCCAGCTACAGCTGAGAGAAACCCAGCAACCAACAGCACAGCTTACAAGGAGGCTGGCCCAGACTTTGTGGATTGCTCTGCTGTAGTATGTCTCTGCTGCAGTCAAAAACATTTCGTGTAACACCATGAAGGGAAGTCAAAAAGAGACAAACGGATCCATGTCCCATGGACCTGTCARTGCATACACCATCTTTTACTCTTCAAGTGTATTACTCTTAATAAATGAGTCATAACTCTTGTTAAGTTGATCTAACAAGCAAGCAACTACAAATACATGATGGAAGCTTGCCTATAACTCAAAGTCCTACCTGCCATCCATGATCATTCTTGTGAAAAAACGTAGGTACTGGTAGATCTCCACACTGTCATGAATTCTTAGGATTTCCTCCTCGTTGTATTTAAAAATTGCAAGAGCATAGCGGAAAATGACCTGTAGGGTTGAAGGGTATTTGAGCAGGTAAAGTTTTAAGCAGCTGAAGGATCAGGCCATCCTGGCAGAAAAGATGTTGTCAAGCACACAGCACTGCAGTACAGGCTAGACCTAGGGTTACTCCTGCTCTCAATAGCCTGTACTAGAGCAGGCCTAAAGGACTACAGAGCTAATCGCAAGAGAATGACCATCCATTAGCTAATATGCAATCCCAGAGAAGATCAGGCTCTACAGAAGGACCCTGCAGGGATTTCATAAGGATTCTCCAGTTCTCCCTATCCACAGGGACAAAGCAGGACTCACATTTTCAGATACTGCTTATTTTATGCTCACTTTATCTGTAATACTCTCAGCTGTGTCACAGAGCCATAGCTCTGCACACACCATAGCCTRTCAGACAGCTGCTCAGTAGACAACCACCTGCTAAAAAGTACGAAGTGCACAGTATAGGGAYTAGGTCTGCCTACTTGCAGGAAGTACAAAGGAAACAGAAACTGGGAGATGTCAAGGCAGGATAGGACAACGGTTCAACCTTACATCTCTTTGATAGATGTGTATGTCCATCACCCTGTCACCATGTCACAGAGGTGACAGGAGGGAGGGCAGATGGGAAGAAGGCCTAGATCAAGAGTTGTACCTTTGTTCCCTCATACAAGAAGGCATCCCACACTCGCAGGAGGATGTCACTGATCAGGCTGTCCACAAAGGCCACCAGAAACCAGTTGAAAGTGATGAGTGAGACATCAATCCGATACTGCTCAAAATGAGCCGTGAGACGAGGCAGCTTCTCAGACAGGAAGTCTTTGAAGACTCTCTGATCTACCTAAAATTGACAAAAAAGAAAAACAATGCAGTCTTAGTCAAGAGCAGTCCTAGTGTTGGAGGAGAGGAGCAGTGCAACAAGACAAAGGCCCTTGCATGTCAGGGTCATCACTGATGCTGCTTTCTAGTGAACCACACCCTTGGAAGAGCAGAGCATCCTTTGTCTCCTTTCAAACTCACTGTGCAGTGTACCTGTATGCTGCATCCAGTGCAAGGCATGGAGCTGAAACACGGCCAAGATACAAACACAGATACATACATTCTTCTCTCTCAAAGGATTATATTTCTTCCCAATATCAAAATCAAGAGGGAAAATCTTCCTGYATTGGTCTTACTGGGATTTTCTGTGATACCATGAGCATCCAGGTGAATGACAGGCATTAAAATATGCCCACATGTGAATGATTGTACATGGCCCAACAGACTGAACACCTAGAATACTTCTGACTTTGCAGGCAGGACCTGATTTTCTCACTTAGCATCTCTTTGTGGTCTGAGTACTGTCTTTGCTTCTGGTTGCATGAGGCAAAACACAGAAAAGCTGTCAGTGAGATCCTTGATCCAGGTTTACAAAGGCTTCAACTCAGCAGAGCCATGGTTTCTGGAGGATAAATCCTAAAGAGCAGGATAATCTTTAGGTCTTCCCTATGCTGTATCATATTAATGCCCCAGCTGTGTCCGCYCACTTAGCTGTGATACAAACCAGACAGGTGATATGCTTTGTCTTTACAAYTTGCAACTTAAAGTTTTCCAGCAAACTCGATTTATCAAGCCAACACACAAAGCATTGCCTTAGATGTTCCTCTTTACACAGATCTTGGCTAGACTTTCAGAGACTAACCATGAGGTCAGAAAATCTTTCTAAAAAAGTCTCTCAGCTGACAGTGTTTTTTCATCAAATGCAGGGGAGCCCATTCAGTCTGCCGTATTTTCCCCGTCAATCTCTACTTGTTGAATGTTGAGTATTAAATCCCACAGCTAATACAACGTGCTCTGGATTGACATTTTGGTGTCTTCACAGTGATTTGACTGTTTCCCCAGTCTGTGGGTTGGCCTCTCCACCAGCACACCACTGTGTCAGTAGACATCAGTCACCAAATTCATTGGCACAATCAATTACTCTCAGCTCCTGATCCTTGAAGCTTCAGCTATTGTCAGCCCATAGATAAAATTCTGAAAGGGTTCTCTGAAAGGACCATACACAATAGATAAGGTCACAGCCAGGCTCACCAGACTGGGCACTGATAGGTRTGGGTGACACAGGCAAACAATTACAATTCCATTGAACTATATGYGAGTCTGCCTGGGAGGACATAGTATATCTCACACAAGACATGCTGAAAACCTTGATATCCAATGATTTTGAATTATGTGGTAAGTTACTCACAGTACAACATTTGATATCAAAAGGCCAGGTTTTCTGATCTGCAGAGAGTCCCACAGTAAGAACTAACACTGCATTTGATCACAAACTGAGGGAAATAGAGTGAATACAAAAATCTCAGTATTTTCATCCACATGCACATGGCACTCCAAAGATAGAGTGCAGCAGTCAACACATATCAGTTTGCTGCTTCACCTCTACTAAGCCCTCTTTAAAATAAGTAAGAGTGCAATTAATGGGCACCTTCCTTTTGGCTAGCCTGACCTTCAAGTTATTACTCASGAGTGGTATCCCGTTTCTTAGACCTGGTGACTAACTTTGCTGCTCTGTGTGTGCTGCTCCTGGATGTGTAACAACTTTGTACTCCAAGTCTCCAACACCTCTGCAATGGAAAGGATTGTAAGGTGCTATCACTATCCTGTGAGAAATCAAACATACAGCAGGTTGACTACTCGCTTTTAAATCTTTACTGTAAACCACTGTATGAGAATCCACGCAGATATGAAGGTGCCCAGCTCACCTGTGATGTTATCAGTGTGTCACTGTAGTAGTCTTCTGGCATTAGATTCTCCACAATATGGACTAGACACCAGAAAGCACTTTCCTCATCTTCCAGGACCAGGAGAGCAACAGCTGCCAATCTGTGATGGACAAGACATGGTGAGGGAATTCAATACTGCAGAGGGAGTCATCAGCACAGGAACTGAAGAATAAAAGACTTCATTTTGCATGTCTCCAGCTCCACTGGCATCCAAAATATCAAATGTAGCAGAACAGCCAGCTGTCAGAGGGAAGCGATCTGTTCTACTTCTGAAGGAACCATAGGGCTGTGATTTTCTTTCCCATATGTCAGTTTCCCATATTCCCAGTTTCCGTATTCCACACCACGGAACTGATGTGACAAAAGCCTAATGGAATGTTTTGTGATACAGTTCACCACCCCGTACTCTCTATTACAGCCACAACATCCTTTAACTCTGACTTACCCCCTTTTAGACAGACTAGAAAGATTAAGGGCTCTTTGAAGGAGCGTTTCTATCATTTTTCTGAAGACTACCCAAAGGTCACTAGGAATAAATAGCTTACACAGGCCTTCCTCATGTGAAAAGATCGAACAAGAAATTCCCTTCTTACAGCTAATGCCTAGTGCCTTTTCTACTTGGCAGCACAGTTCTAAGAAACTTAGGTTCATCTTTCCTATAGCCTTCTTTGGAAAATGAAAGATGCTTTTACATTCTCTGAATCTTCTGTTTTCCATACAGAACAACCCTAGTTTCCTCAAGTCTCTCTTGGTGTCACTTGCTGCAACTCCCTCATATGTTAACACTTTCCAACATTTCCTCCAACTGTTCTCAGCAAAAAASGGAATCACCAGCGTGTTGTGCTGAGCACATTACTTCTCAAAAAACTCAGCCCCAGCCTTGTGCCGTTATTCTGGGAYAGCTTCACTCTACATTCTATAGCTGTTCCTTCCTATTCTGTAACTACAGAGATGCCAAAGAAGTTCATCCTGCTGCTTGCTGGATCCCAGCAACAACACTGGAAAAAAAAAGGCATCAAATGCAGAATTCTGCAAGTAAATAGCTAGAGTTAGGACAGAATTGTAGAGGCAGGTCTGGGGCTGCTGGAATCATAGCCTAAAATATGTGTCTACACTTTTTCCCATGAAGAGACAGCATACCTGGCTCCTTACCTGTTCAATCCCTGGCAGTATCCAATGGCAGGATTGTGCCACGAGAATGCCAATAACACCCTCCGGAGCTTGGGGATGAGCTGGGAGGTGGGAGAGGAAAAATGCTTGTTGTTGGTCAGTGTGCGGGGCAGGTCAAGCTCGATCTGCCGGCAGGCAGGGTGCTCAGTGCTCCTGCTCTGCTCCAACAGCCGCTGGTAGTGGCCAGGAATGAGGCTGCAGTGCCGGCTGACCATCCACCTCCACACCCGCTGCCGATGCTCCACTGGAATGCCACTCCGGATCAGACTCTTCAGCTCGGCAGAGGGGTTCAGCTCTCCAATGCTGTTCCATCTGTCACGGAGGGGCTTCTCCACTATTTCCTGACTCCGCAGCTTGTTGGACTTTATCTCAAGGGCTTGGATTTTGGCCAGGAGTTTCCAGTCCTCAATTTCGTAGTCAGGTACCGTCATAAACCCATACTCATCATACTCGCTGGAGGAACACAAGGCAGTGTTAAGTTCAAATGACAGTGCTGGTACCTGTGTCAAAGACACTTACTGCTTGGGGTCACGCCAACTACAGCCTTCTCCGAGGTCCCCGCCACCCATGCCAGAGCACAGGTACTAGTGGGAATGCATCCCCCTGCCTTTTGCAGGCTGCACTTGTGGCTGTGGTGAAGAGCCTAACTAATTCTTGTTAGGCCTCAACTTAACTTTGTCATGCTGTCACTTAATATTAAATYTGGKTTTTGCTGACACCCTTGCTGGTGATTTTTTTAAAGTGATCTCAAACACTTGTTTGTAGCAGTACTCCTCCGTSACTTCTCTGGCAGCTGCATGTGACACCCTGCCTCAGAGCCTTGAAGACAAATGAGAGCCTGCAGCACTTACATGCACACACAGACTCAACTGTATCTTTGCACTGAGYTGCAGACCAATCTCATCAGACCCCRATCTCAGCAGCCCCTAAGGGATCAAGCTCACCCTTGCTCTCTCTGCTATGTCCTAGTGCAGAGACAGTTCTGTAAGAGGGGACTGGAAARGCTTTAGGGCATCAGATCAAAGAACAGAGATCCATAGTCCTTTCAGATGTCTCCCTGCAAGCAGTGTGAATCTCTTATTGATCAGAACAAACCAGGAGTATTGATAGTACAGCTTTGTGTACCACCTGTCCACAGGGTGGGATACTTTGAATATTTCATCATATTCTTGACAAAGACATCAAGCCTGGCCTAGAGGCATCTCCAAAGCTACCTGAAGAACCTGCAGGATTGGCCAAACGGATAAAATGGGAACTGCTACAGAACAGGACCACTGATTGGGCAGGAAGTTATAAAGACAAATGTAGGCTCCTGCTATGCAATGTCCTCAGATGTCTCTATCCTGCACACTTCCCTTTGCAAACAGGCTTCTACAAAGCTGTGAAAATCCCCACGCTCTCAACTGTTACCTTACGGGGTTCAAGTTAAAACCTTCTTCTGCTTCTTCCTTTACATCCCACTGGAGAGCTTCCTGGATGAGGTTCTTCACTAATTCAGCKTGAGAATTGGGCAGGCCAGGCACAGCCTCCTGCAGCTTCCTCAAGACTGTCAGGTATTTGCTCTCCATCTGACAGTTTCTTGCTTGCAGGCAGGCACACTGATGGGGAAATAAGAAGGAAAGAGCTCACTCAGTGCCAGTTCTTCTTGCATTGCCACTACTCTCTGCTGGCCTGGTCTGAACATAAAGCAGAGACTTCTGAACAACAAAGCCCCAGRAAACACATTTAGTAGTTTTCTGCAGTCAGTAGAATTGCAACCATGAATGAATCACCATGGTCTATGAACAAACACAAGCTGCAGTAGCTAGCATGCAACGAACGTTTCTTATTGAGTGGGAGACCTACTACATCATCACCTACTTTAATGACTGCATTGCATCAGTGGATGGCCACATCCCACTACAGCTGAACTAAAGAGTCAAAGAGGTAGCACTGCATCTGAGTTCTCTGCAGTCTTTTTCCCTGATCCTCAGACAAGTTCTCTACACCACATTGAGCTATATCCTGATAAAACAAACCACTCCTGGGACCGAGCTATAAGCATACCATTTTCAGGATACATGGGTAGTACCACGGAGTGGAGCAATYACATGCCCTTCAGCATCCTCAGTCCCATGACACTGATATGCATCATTTCCCATGCACAGGAAGCCCAACTGAGATCAAACAGCAGGACAGTACCTGCCACCACCAGTCCCGGGCACGCAAAGCAGAAGAAACGAGGATTATTAGAAGAAATGAGGATTATTAGCCCACTCCAAAAGTGGGAACTGGGGCCACACAGGTGACAAGACTCACCCAGTGTTTCACAGCAAGCTCAATGAAGACTCCTGTTCAGTGGAAAGCAGCAGTTGAAAACAAGAACAAAACAGAAACCACAGAGAGATTTAGGTTGCATATAAAGGGGACAGAAAGGAGCATTGTTCCTCTCATCTACCACTTTAATCAGCACTTTGCCTGACATTGAGCATGCTGGGCTCATCTTATTACTCTTTTTTTTTGGAGGTTATAGCAGTTTCAGGATGAGAGGGCAGTAAGTTACAAGGAAAGCAGGGTTTCAAAGATCTAGAAAGCTAACAGATGTAAGAATGGCAATAACATTCCAGAAGCAGCGATTTGCTCAGAATCCATGACYGTAAATCCATACCTGTGGTGCAGAATTCCCCCATACTATGACCTCAGAAATGCTCATTAGCCTCAGTCTTGTTGAATAGCATCTGGGCTAAGTTCCTCTTACACTTGTCAGAAACAGTGTGCTCCCAGGAACTGGTGCTAACAAGCTCCTGGTTTTAACRAACACTGGAAACTTACTTTTCTTGCAAACCCAAGTGGAGCAWCCCAAATGGAACAACACTTTTGTTATCAAATTTTTAAGAAAGTTACCAATTGCAGTCAGGATGGAAAATTATTATGACTAAAGGCAATTCTCTTGTGCACCTACAAACAGTGGTCCTAAGTAAGACACTTTGAGCTCTCCTGGACCACAGTGGGCTGTGACCAGCAACCTCCCTCTGAGTGGGGCCTGTCAGAGGCAGARAACTCTCAGATTTGCTGTAYTTGAAGGACCACTGCTGAACAATGAAGACAAAGGCGGGGCTGATGCCYCACTCCTGTGAGCTCAACCCTTTGCCTGCCCTTTGAGAAGATGCAAAGATATCCAACATGAGCACTTCACTGAGCTCRAGGGAGAATTTTCGCAGGTGCCTTGCACACACCCTAGGTCTGTGTGAATATGCTACAGAAAATGCATACCTGGAATCTTAGATGCTTAAATAATTTAGGTTAGTAAGTAAGTTAGGCCTATAAGTGAATTACTGTTGTGCTTGCAGTAAATTATTTAGAATCTTTTGTAAATTGGTTCAATTCAGCCAATTGTTTAAGTGCTGCTAAGTTTAAGTGCTTTTAAAATCTTTAGGCCCAAACTGTTGTTCAAGTCCAGAGCTAAGTTTTGCACAGGAGTACGCGAGACCTTGTGGCTCACAGGGAGGGTGTCCCTTACTCCCTTTATGCTAAAACATTCCCATCCTTACCATTTTCCATCCCCAGCTTCCATGTCAATGTTTGATCGATCTTACCTTTAAATTGATTGATTAATTATAGGTTTTAGTACTATTTTACCTCTATATGCTTTAACCATCTAGTAAGTAGCAGAGTGAATCTTGCCAATGAACTTYGCCATGCTTTCACTTCAATATTAAACCTGCTTCAGGTAACCTTTAYCAGTGATTCTTTAAGCAGCTTAAGACACTCATTCACAACAATACCCTAAAACCCGGGGAAGTAAAACCTAGGCAAAACTCACAGAACAAATGCCAGCACACACCACCAGCCTTGGAAAGGGTTCAGAAGCAGAAATAAGGATCAGACAAGTCTGAGAGTAACCAGGTTATGCATACTGACACAGCTAGAAATAAAAGCAAAACTAAGAAGACATAAGAACTCTGATCTAACTGCAGGACCTGAAGTGTGCTGCCACCTGGCAGTGCCATGTCRAGCAGAGAAACCACGACTAGGATGGAGTCAGGACTCTATCAGCTCCCAGGAAACTTTTCTGATTGCCTACACAATATTGCTTTTCTATTTGCATAGCTGAAATGCAGAAATCTGGGTTAAGCTTCAGCACCTTCATGACTGATTTTTTACTTCTGTTGAAGAATTGAAATGTTGGGAACAACACAAACCAGTAAAGAGGTCACACTAAAAAAAAAAAAAAGAAAGCTTACTCGATGTAGATCAAAACCTATTCCAGTGCTAGCTTTGAAAATAAGCCACAGATCACACCAAGGAAAAAACGTCATTTGGTCTTACCTTCATCAAAAGGGCTTTTTCATTCTCAGCAACCCTTGTCCAAAGTCGAGTCACCTGATGGATCTCTGAATTAAGAAACTGGTTCTGGGTTTTATATGCATCAATATCATCCTGTGATAAAGCAAAACAGTCAGACAACGAGAGTTCTTGACGGTCTTGAAATCCCTTCCATTTCAGGGACATCAGATTATGTTAAGGACAATAAAATATCTCCAAAGTTCTGGGTTCTGGGGAGGAGATAGGATTCCCCAGTACAAATATCGTCTGTGAATAAAATCAAGCCACAATATTGTCATGCATCAACAAGACACTTGAAAATGCTAAATGTATATATATACTTAAAAAACACAGAGGAATCCAGGCCATATAAAGCCAGAGAAGCACTCAAATAAGATTTAGAACATATGTGATTTGTTTGGATTTTGTTTCTTGATTGGTTTAATTTTGGTTGTTTGGTTTCGTTTTTATTTTAATTAAACAAATCTCAGCTCCACGGCTGGCAGCAAAAACTCTCTACAACAAGTGGCTCTTTCAGCAATTTCCCACCTCACACTAACCCATCATAACAGTTGGGCATATAGAGACAAAAAACAGGTTTCATCAGAAAGAACCAGGATGTATTGGGAAACTGCAAGACAGAAACATAGAGCAAGGAAATTAGGGAAGGGAGCAAGTCAGGCTGCAGCTGTAAAACAAAAGAAAAGAAAGTGGCAGGCACTTAATGATGATGGGAAGTCAAACAAAACAGGCTCTGAGCTGAAGATGAAACTGACCCAGATGCTTTTCAGCATCAGGTGAGCCCCTTTCAGCCTGCCTCTCGTTTGAGACAGATGGAGCAAACAGCAAAGTATATTCTGTGCTTAACGCAAAAAACACCTTCCCACTGAACCTGAAGGCATAAAAATGGAAACCCCCATAAAACCTGTGCCATCTTACACACCTTCAGATGCTCAATCTCCTCCTGCTGCTTATACAATGTCTCTACAGTGATAGTGTTGGCTTCTTGCAGGGGGTCAGAGAGCTCTCGAGCCATCTGCTCTGYCAAGGCCATGATGACTTCCTGTTTGGCATGATTCTTCTCCATCAGAAGCTGCACATGTTCCTTGAGCTCCTGGATGTGGCTGTCTCTTAAAGTCAGTATCTGCTCCAGTTCCTTCTTTTCTTGTTCAAGAGCTTCCAGCCGACTTGTCAGATCTGCAATTTGTCTCACTTTGTGGCGCACCAGCTCCAGCCTGTCTTTATCTTCTGCTGCAGTGAGATACTTGCTAGATACTCGCTTCTCCTGCTGGGCTGCCTCCAGAGCTTTGTGGAGAAGTTTAACCAGCTCCTGGAAAGAGGATGCAAAGCCATCACATAACTGTGCTGTCCAGGGCAATGACAGTAGGGACAGCAACAGACCCAACAGTGAAACATATTGAAGTTGACTCTTTTTGGAAAGAAAACAATGCAGAAATCTTGAAACCATAGTGACATCACACTGACACATTCTGCTCTCAGAGCTGGGCCTGAAAGCTATCTGCAGCAGGTGGCAGATGACTTGATGTGGATTACTAGCAGAAAAACAGCTGCCCACGCTATCTGAATTCTGGCTTTCCCACAATCATTCCTGGGAGGCCCAGCAGAGAACCTGGAGATCTGATCAGCAGTGTGGTAAAATGGGAGGGAGAGAAATAATTCAGCCTGCAACTACCTGTGCTACCAGAAGAAAACTGTGATATCCATTTTAAYCTTCCCTCTGCTAGAGTCCTTACTCACTCTATCCTGCATGAAGGCRTGGAATCCTGCTCCAGCAACACATTGCTGATTCAGGCTTTGCCATCTCAGACACTAAGAAAGCAAATCAAGGATGCAACCGACTGGCCAACATGGGACCTGGCTCTCCTGCCTCTGCTGCTGGARGAGTTACCAGCATCATTAGCAGAGAACCTGGCATTGCTCCATGCTTTGAAGAACAGTATCATTCATGAGAGACTGTCCTTGCAGTGACCGATGCCCTRACTTCTACAGTCAAATCACACTTTAATGGTGTTCAAAAAGAATGACCTGCTGTTAACAGCATGACTCCACYTTGCAGTCTTGCCAGTGTCATGGCACCTGTTCAGGACTTTATTTTGTGTGCAATAGAGATGCACAAGCAAGACAACAGCACACACACTTGGATTTGTTTTATTTCCTTCTTACAGCTAGCTGCACTTCCTACCAAYGGCTGAAGGTCTTCCTTTTTGCTGGGCATACTCAGGCACATTCAAGGTGGTACCATTAGGAACTTCAAGGAGTCTCCAGTTAGTGCCTGCTGASCACCTGTCAGTGCTTCTACACACCAATGTGTAAGGGAGTCCCTATTATGAGCCTCAGAAAATGCCGTCTCTTCACCACACTCACCTTCTGTGACTTGACTTCCTCTGTGAGAGTCAGAATCTGTTGCTGTAGGACRCTCACTTTATCCACTGAGTTCTTCTCCCTGCACAATTCTTCAGGTGAGCCTGGTAAGCCACTGTTCATCCACCTGGCTTTCCTAATCCAATTCAGCCTGGGCTCCGTCCTCCCATCATCCAGGGTCCCCTCCTTAACTAAGGGGAGATAGATTTAATTAGCACAGAATTGCTTTGCTACTGCAGACTCCCAAGTCTTTCTAAGGGGGGCTCACAACAGTTCCGCAGAGAAAGCTGAAATGCATACAGGACAAGGAAAGTTGACCTGCTGGGGCCCACAGCATTAAATCAAAACAGTAGGGATCAGACGCGATATGCCCAGAATAGCCAAAATTATGATGTTTCATGGTATCTCTTTACCAGCTTGCACCCCRCACATCTATCCTGCTCACAGCAAATGTAAGTTACCACCGTGGAAAGGTATGCATGGAGTGGCRCTGATACACTTAGCCTGTCACTGCAGCAATTACAATTTTACCTCAAAGAAGTATGTCTGGCACCATGATTTGGCATTTCTTTGCCTCTGCACAAGGTTCCAGAGGTACATACAGCTCAGTAACAATCACCTGCACACCCTGTCTCAACCTGTGCCTCTTGCTCCTCATTCAGGTTCTCAGGATGATCGTGGAATTCATTGAAGCTAAAAACATTCCCACTGTTCCTCCAGAGCTGCTTGTAGACAGTGTTTCTGGAACAAGAGATCAAGACAGCCTAGTGAACAGAAGTCAYGATCACTGCAGCCAGCCAGTGCACATCCAAACTACTCACTGCCTTACCTCCCCTTACTTCCCACCCCTCCTCTCAGAACCTATTTCCTTCATGTGCTGAGAAAATGAACTCTTCATAGCATTGGTGGATTTGAAGAAAACAAGGTTGTTTGTATTGGAAATCAATACCAGTGCAGCAATGTAAAATCAGACGATCTTTCCCCATGTGCTTGAGTCCTACACATAAACACATCAGACCAAACAGGGGGATCAAAGGTAACAGCAGACTAGCCACATCCCTCCCCCCTTTCTCACCTTCCCTCTCCTCCTCCTTCCCTCTCTCCCTCTTTCCCTTCCTCCCTTCCAACCCTATCCTTAGCTCACTGCAGAAATCCCCAGGTGCCAAGAAAAGCTGCCAAGAGAAGCTGTTACCTACAACACAGCCAAAACTTGGACAATATTCACATTTGAAGCAGCCACATGTCCTGTGCTCTGAAACATTTAATAAACAACCTTTCCACTACAGTCAATAAATTAAAATGTAGTAAAGASATTCAGAAAAAAAACTGCAGTCAGACCAGAGTTTGTTACAGCTGTTGCTATCAGAAATTACCAGAAGCACTAAGAGATGACTTTACAGAATCACAAGGAACTACAAATGTACAAGTATTTTCTGTAAAACCTATACCAGAAAGCATGCATACAGATCTTTTTCCCTTCTCCTGCTGTGGTGTCCATCACCTAAAACAAAAAAAGCCCCTTGTTTTGAGGTRTATAAAAGATTCAGTGTCTGCTGCTTTCCCAACTGTAAATGAAGCTGCCATTTAGGTAGTAATCTCCTTCTGTCTTGCCACTGTAAGGCTCCAGGGCAGAGGAGTAGACATTGCTGACCTTGGAGAACACACCAGTGTGTAAAATCAGATCTTCAATCCCAGTAGTTTGCAGTTAGMACTCATCCTATATAATTTTCCTACTCTTCTCTACCTCATGCTGCACTGTTTTTCCCTGAGACTGCTGCAGCTCAGGGATCCAGATGTGCTACACTCAAGACCCAGCCTGACAGTGACAGAGTCTCGAGAAATGTTTACTGAACAAGGGGAGCAATAGAGCTTGAAGCTGAAAAGAGACAATTGTTACTCGAGYTCACAAAAGCAAGGCATGGGAGGAGGGGCCAAAGATATGTTTGTGTTAWTTTTAATTAAAGTGAGTAGGACAGAATGCATAGTCTGCAAAATAGTACAGATGATTTTGATACTCTCTGGTCTCATGGGGAATCTTTCTTCTTATAAGGATCAGATTGTAGCTGCAGCAGTGGTGGTAAAAAACCATAGGCAATTTCCACACTAACAGGTGTCTGGCGACCTACCACACCTATAGCCACTTACATATTTTTGGTTATAAATAAATAGGAAACACCTGAGATATTGATGGCGCATCAAGGCTTGTAACTTTTGACTGATGGGGCTACCTATTGCAACAGCAGATAGAAGGAGGCAGCAGTGGGAATTTTAACAGCCTTGAAACTCAGCAAGCAGTAGCAAGCTGTGCAGTCAGGCCACATTACAGGCTCAASAGCCCTTTCCTTGGAGTTCCTGCTGTAGAGAATGCACTATGCTCAAGGTACTCTGAAACCACTGGAAAGTGCTAATGGGATTCTATCACTACCTACTGAGTATGGCTGAACCTGACCAGGTGCCCTTCCAAGACTGCTGTGCAGATGCATCACACTAGTCCTACAAAGCATTGCCTACACTGGACAGAGTTTAACCAAGTCCTAGGTCTGCTACCAGGATCTTTGGTAAGAGAGACAGATGATGTGAAATGCATCAGAAAAGGGGGATGYGAAAGACCCACTGGCAGGAAGTTTACTTTGGCCTGGACTAGCCTCCRAAAAGGTGCTTCGCAGTTCTTCCACCCAGGCAAGAGTCCCATTTCACGTAATACATGTCAGGCAAGGAAGGCAAACAGTGGCAGGCCAGCACGACAGTTACACTGCAGTTCTCTTCATGCACTTACTGTATCTCTGTCCAAGGGTGCTTAAGGGAGATGTTCTGCAAAGCAGTAGATGTCTGGGGTGCAGGCAAAGATGCTGCTTTTAAACCCACTGCTTCTGTTGGTGTTTTCACCAAAGGTAGAAAGTCTTCATTGTCAACTACATCTATGTAAAAACAAAACACGAAACAAAAGCAAATGAGCAAAACAGAATTCCGTTGGATTTCKGGTCCTTCATGTAACCTGACAGCCACAAGTTTACTACAGGTATACATTCAGTGTTCAAGTGGTCAGGTGGAAAAAGGACAGCAGAGCAGGCCTCCTTAGTTWTAGGTCAAATTACAGAAGTTTCCATGCACAAACATAATTATCTATTCAAGCACAATCAAGTGATTTCAACAATATATATGAGAATGACTAACCTCAAATAATCAAACTTTAAGTGCCTATAGATACTAAGGAGAAAAATTCTCCTGTTCTCTTCTCACATCCCAAACCACATATGATAGTTTTAATGTGTTGAAAACACTCCACAAGCACAGCTTGTCACTGAATTTTTCCTCCTGTAGCAAGATGCCACCCAGAAGATTTTAGAGCAGACACTTACTAGGGAGGATATTATTTGTTTCAAAAAAATGTCGATCTAGTCATAACTAAACAGGTGGATATCCTGGTTGTATCCTTCCCTGATCCACTGACCTGTCTACTACCACATTCAGAAATGGACATCAATCATCCCACTGCTGGAAAAAAAAACCTTGCTTGCTCTAAATTTCATAGGCCTTGCAAGAGGTAAGGGATGTATCAAATATGCACTCTTGACATGTGTGAGGAAAATCAAGATGAAATTCATGATCAAAAGATACCTGAACATCTCCAAACATATGCTGTAGATTAGGAGGCAGCTTATTCACTTTCATACATAGGGCAGAAGTTTCAAACACTGGCCAAGCACTAATAGTTGGCACCTGCATTTAAAAACCTGGCCAAAACTTCTACCCACTTCCAGATGAGGGACACCATTCATTACCAGGGGGCTGAARGCAAAAGAAAGGCTGACATATACAACACCTACTTGTTCTTCCAGCCAGAGGTTCATTCACAAGCTGGGAGCTGCCCACAGGAAATCTGCTCTGGGTGTTGCAAAATTCCCAACGTCTCATTTGCAGTTGCTGCAGCCAGTACATCATTGCCTGTTTGCTGATTGCCTAACATAACACAAAACAGGAAAGGGAAGGGGAAAATCTCATCAAGACATATCCTGAGGAGATGACCACCACTCAGCTGCACAAGTGAGCAGAAAAAAGTCAGCTGTATCAAGACTATGCTGTATCTGTATCCTCTGCTCCTAACACTGATTTGGGAGGACAGAGTAAATATTTAGTATGGCCTTAAGTGGCAGAATCTCAGTGGACAAGTGACCTCATTTTAAATGTGTTTTGGTTTATTTTGGTTCAAGACTAAACAGAAATGTCACAATTATTTGAGACAGGAATTATGCCCAGAGCTTTTTAACAATGACTTACACAGAAATAGAAGTCTAAAAAAGAATGCTCCTGGAGYAACCATTTTAGACAAAGGAATTTCATTTCTGTTCAGTAAATTACATGTRGACTCTACTTTAATTTGGCACACAGTTCAGCTTTTAATCCTACTCTGTTACACAACAGCCATCTCACAGGAAAGGMGTCCCATGCTTGCCAAAACAATGCAAGTAATTTAGGTCTAAGTGGTAGCAATCCAAGCTGGGAAGACTTAAGTGAAACTCAAGCTAAGAGATACCTTAGTAGAGATGTGTCTGCTCTGATTGGACATGTTTTCATTACCTTCAAAATAAAAGCCCGGCTTGGTGTTCTGATCTCAAAAACTCCTTCCCCATTTTCCATTTTGCAGTCAAAGCTGGCACTGGAGAGATCAATAGACCCCAAAGGATTAATGTCTTGGGCAGTTCTGTAGTATAATAARCGACATTTGTTTTCATCATAAAAGAACCAGCGAGACTTCCAGGTCTTGATTGGCCCTTTGATGCCCAGCTTATTTAAATAGCCACAGAGTTTTTTTCTGGATATTTCTGTGCTGGGTTTTGGTGGTACATTTTCCAGTTCCCCAGGAGAGGGAAGCATGTCTTTCTCTGTTGCTGAGGCTCCATTGCTACTGTTAGTGTCTGGATTTGACTCCACTAAATTGCCTGAAGCAGCAAGGGTACATGATTCACTTTCTGGTCCTTTCTTCATCTCTTTAAGGAAATGGATTGAAACAGGAAACTCTCTAGGTAAATAAGCCGATCCCAATTATATCATYGCTGTTACAGAACCTGCAGCCAATGAAAAAGAAAGGAACAAGATCAGGTCTGGCATATAACAAAAAACACTACCTAGCCTTCAAACTAGCCAACCAAGGTCTCCAACTCYACTTTTGGTCATTGCTCCCTGCCCTCCTCTGCTCAGATGACCTCTATATACCTGTTTTCTCCCTTTTTCATTCCTAAATTAGCCTRGACTAGCAGCCAAGAAACAGTACCATGATCTCTTGTGTGAAAAATAAGTACAGCCTGTTGGCATACTAAATCTATAGCAATAACCAAGCATTCTGTACATAATATTAAGGAAAAGGTGCAGAAAACATGGCAAGATAACAAGCTCTGCGGGTAGGCACATAGTCAAGTCGAGGGATTGCAAATGTGTCCTGGCATTTGCACTGAATGTTCAATTAATACTTTAAACCACAGCATCTGGAGAAAAATCCAGCCTTATGCAGCACCCTTGTGAATAACTTGTGTCAGCTGACTATTGCTGTTAAAATGCCTGCATGCTATGTGTTAGTCTTTTATCCAGTAGGGTGGATTCATATGATGGATTATGCACCAGAGAAATTCTGTGGTCCTTGCAAAAGAGATTTGATTTCTTCAGGGACCAAACTAAACACCTGGCTCCCAAAGGAAAGGCTCCCAAAAGGAAAAAAATAAAAATCAGGCTGAAAGAGATCAGTGTAAATCTTGAGTTCAACTTCTCTCAGAGATTTAAAAGTTGTAGCCAGCTACACAGGTCCACATTCAGATAAAATTTTATCATGCACAAGGATGGCAATTTTGGTATGTTTCTGAACGCTTTTTCAAGTGCTTAACCATATGACAGGTGTGATTTTTTGCTCAAAGTTGCAGATACCACAGCTCCTRTATAAAGAAAGCTAACAACACTCCAGAAAGTATCCATAAACAACTTCTCGCATTTTTGAAACTTCAGTTTCAGACACTAACATAGCTGAAGAAACTATGTAAGCAAATAAATCACTGCACTGTTAAGTTAGCGGGAATCCAACTGCAAATACAAAACTATTGAACACAATTTCCAGCTGTATGATAACATGTCAGTGGAAACAACACAATGGAACATAACGAGATGTTGCCCAAGCTCATCTTGTTCCTCTGCTCTCAGGAACAACTTATCCTTATGACAGAAAGAATGTTTATCTACCCTAGCGCTGGMTAAGCTCTATCGTGTACATTGCTGCCCTCTCCTGTTTCCACATTAGCTTTACAGACAACTATCGATAATGTTCACTTTATGCAAAGCCGCTTAAATTCTTCTCGTTCACCCCCACGACACTGTGGATCCAGGTGCTGAATACATTCAYAAATGTCAACGACAAGCATCCCTTTGAGCAGGTGTTGCCTCAACTAAACTTCTGAAACACCCAAAAAACTTCATTGCCAAGCTAATTTTCCCTCGCACAAAGGAAATACCGTCAGGAGGAAGAAACATTCTCAACTTTCCCAAACATACACTGGGGCTTTTATGTCAGTACTACTGTAAGTATCTTTTGCACAGTCTGAAGACTCCATCCTACTTCTACCTCTTGCCACCATGATGGTTYATTGGTTCATACCATGAACACGAYCAAGTAAGTATTGCAGGAAATTTAATTTAGGTTATTTAGTAAGCATTAGGTTCAAGAACTAAGTTATAAGGAATCATGTCAGGTCTGCATTGCAAAGACCTCTAGTAAGACCTCACCTCCTTAAGGGGAGTAGAGAGAAGCTCCTGGAAGTCACCGTCTCCTGGCACAGAGCCACTGCTGCAAGCACCACCGAGCAGGTAACGACAGCCTCTAACAAATCCAACAGCAACACATAACCAGCGTCTGCCTCAGGTTTTCTTCCGTCCAGTCGCTGCCGGGAAGCTGTCTGAAAGACAGATTTAGCCGCAAGCTACCCTGACACTGACTCACCAATGAAAACAGATCAGGGTGGACCCTTCATAAACTTTTCCGGAGCTATGGGGCCAGCAGCACAAGGCAGCCCCCACCGCCCCACCCCGTGCCTCCCACAGCGCCGCGGAAGCGCCTCCCAGCCCAGCTGCACCGCGCCCGGCACCAGCGACGGCGGCCGGAGCCTGGCACGGGGCTGGCCTGAGCCTGGCACCGCCTGTAGCAGCGCCCGGCTGGGGCGGGGGGGGCATCCGAACCGCTGGCCCGTCAGGGATTTGGGGTGGGGAGGGCGAGTGGAGGTGCGGGAAGCCGCAGTTCCCGCCGGGAATACCTGCCGTGGCCGCCGCCCCGCGCTTCCTGCCAGGCCAGTGTGCGGCGATGCCGGCGGGGCGGAGCCCGGGCAGCCCTGGGACAGCGGCGGGGACGGGACGGGGTGGCCGAGCGAGAGGAAGCGGCGTGGGGGATGCCAGCTGCAGCCGCGGGAAAAATAACAATAATAATAATAATGATAAAGGGCATTTCAGACGAGGGTCGGGAAGAAAGCGATTCATCAGGGTGATGCGACCCATGGACAGCAAGCAAGCGGAGTGGGAGAGCTTGTGGGCTAGAGTGGACCAGCAAGTTCCATCTGTTAGGAGGGGACTTTTCTCCAGAGCTGCAAAATCACCGGGTGGCGAATGCAGATGTCCTGGTGGCGAATTCAGATGTCCTGAGAGAGTCACGGCTGTGCAGTCACCTGGGGCAGCTCAGCTCAGTCAAGCACATTTCACAGGATAAGAACAGTGGTAACTTGGTGACACGGGACACTGGAGGTTGACAGGGCCAAAGGGAAAAGCCTCTAGAAAAGATACTGCAAAGAATAGGGATGTCAGACCACCTTAATGAAGCAGTACAGGTTCTGGGGGCACAGGGCACACAGCACAGCCTGGTTCATGTTGCTCTCTGACAGCTGTCTTTCTTCCAGGCCCTGCTAGCCTTGGCAGGTGTTGTACGGGCCTGGGAAGGCACTTCTTATGCCTTTATCTCAAGAATAAGAGTCTGGATGGCTCCTATTTTTCTGGTGTGCTGAGCCTTTACCAGTGGTCTCAAAAAAGCCCTGCCTGAGTTTAGTCAATTTTACTGAGTTTCATCACTGACTTTAGCCAAATTTAGTACCAGAACAGCAAAATACAAACCTGTCAGATTGGCCTAAATTGCCAAAATGTAGAGTAYGTTAATCTGATTACAACATGCAAAATTTACATATTGCTGTAGCAAAAAAAAAGATATATTTGTCTCAAATTTTTCTTGTTTTGGCATTTGGCCATTTGACTGGATCATAGAGTTGCACAGAATCACAGAATTGTTAGGGTTGGAAGGGATCTCTGAAAACCATCTAGTCTAACTTTTCCTGCCAAGGCAGGATCACCTTGAGCAGAATGTGTTGAAGTAGGATTTTGATGTCTCCAGAAAGGGAGACTCCACRGCCTCYCTTGGCAGCCTTTTCCAGTACTCTGCCACCTTCAACATAAAGGAGTTCTGCCTCATGTTGAGGTGAAATTTCTTCTGTTTTAGTTTATGGCCATTGCTCCTTATCCTGTCACTGGGCACCACTGAAGWGTCTGGCACCATCTTTCTTGCCACCTGCTTTTGAGACATTTATGTCTATTGATGAGATTCCCTTTCAGTATTGTGTACTCTGGACTAAATAGGCCCAGGTCCCACAAGCTCCAGACCCCAAATCATCTTTGTCACCTCTGCTGGACTTTCTCCAGTAGCTCCTTGTCTTTCTTCAACTGATTATCATTACTGACTGATGGAGATCAGTAGGAAAAGGGGGAAGTGTGAAGGCTATAACTCAGATTGGATTCCTTCTTCCCCGTGAAGGCTGCCTTCTCCCCCTCAGCCATACCTAGAGGGAAGTGGCAGAGTGTGACAGCAGCAGTGGCATCAGTGAACAGCACTAGTCTGTGTGAAGGTTGGCCTGTAAACGCTTTAGAAGCCTCTTAAAAGACCTGGCGTTCCACAGTTAGTGCCAGCATGACTCTGAAAGAATCATCCTGCTCCCACTGTCAYCTTACACTCTGGCACTGGCAAGGCTGTGTTGTGTCCTGTTCTGGGCCCCTCACTTTAAAAAGGATATGTGCTGGAGTGCGTCCAGAGAAGGGAACAAGGCTCATGAAAGGGCTGGAAAATACACCTTATGAGAAATGGCTGAGGGAGCTGGGCTTGTTTAGTCTCCAGCACAGGAGACTCAGGGGTGATCCCATCGTTCTCTACAACTCCTGAAAGGAGGGTGAAGTGAGGTGGGGATCAGTCTTTCCTGCTGTACCTGCAGTGAGAGGAAATGCCCTTAWATCTGAGGCAGAGGAGATTCAGATTAGTTGTTCGATAATAAGCTTTTYACCGTCAGGTTAGCCAGGCATTGGAATAGGTTGCCCCGGGCGGTGATRGGGTCCCCATCCCTGGAGGTGCTTAAAAAGCATTTGGAAATGGAGCTAGTGATGTGGTTACACTGCTATGTGGGTAGTTGGACTGGGTGACCGTAAAGCGCTCCTGCAATCTCGGTGATTCTGTTATTCTTTGTGCAGCCTCACAGGGAGCTGAGCTGCTGAGGAGTCGCGGCGCTGCTTTTACCGGAGCGGCGGCTCCAGGCCCGGCGCYCCCCGCAGGGCCCGTGAGGGGAAGGAGGAGCCGCGCTCCGCCCTGAGAGCGCCACCCGCGCACGGCGCCTGCGCCCGCCCGCCCGCGCTGCTCGACATGGCGGCGCTGTGAGGCCCTGGAACCGCGCGGCTTCTATCGGTGCTGGGCCTCCGTCACTCCCTCCCTTCGCCATGAGGAACCTGCGGCTGCTGCGAGCCGGTGTGCACCGCTCCGCCGCCGCCACGGGCACCCCGCAGTGCTTCTGCCTCGGCGCAGAGCCCGGCACGGTTCTTGTGGGCTCCCAGTACGGGCTTGTGGAGCTGCGCCCCGCAGGGGACTCGGTGAGAGCCGGGGCTGCGGCTGCGGGGCAGGTTGCTGGTGCTTGCCGGTGTGTTGGGGTCAGCTTTGGTGCAGAGCTGGAACGAAGTGTTTGCGCTTCTGCCCGCGGGAGCACTCCGGTGTTCGCAGGGAATTCTCCTGTTTCTTTATAGGGCTCCCCCTTCACCACGGTGTCAGCGGGCTCTTGCACCCTTCCCGCGGCTCCCCTTCCAGCAGCTTGCTGCTGTCTCACTTTAACGTGGAAGCCGATGCCTTGGAATCTTGGTGGCTGAAGAGGCWTGTGTGCTTTTAAAATACCAAGTCTGCCTCTTTAAGAGCGTGGCTGTGTTTGATGCGTGTCACTCGTGCGTGGTTTAGTCTTAAGGCACAACCTGACGAGTGGTTGCATCAGGTTCACAAAACAGCCAAGCAGGCAAAGAGATAGTGAAGAGTACAGGAAGAAGCTTCTAAAACTTTGCCCTAGAAAGAAAAAATCCCCAACATGCTGCTAAAGTAATAAAATGCTATTGAGTCATGAATTCCTGTTAGAGGTGGGTTGCTTTCTGCTCACTGAGAGACATCTAATTCTTTCAGTACATTCAGTTCTGAAGTTAACTGACAAAAGATCTTTGGGGTTTGCCAKGGATTTAATTTTCCAAAATTGCTGTACTGTAACAATCCAAATGATTCTCCTTAGATATTTTTAAGCAGTGTCTAGAGGTCTGCATGCCCACTTAAAAATAGTGGAGCACTTTAAGCAGCCRCCCATGCAACTCTTAATGTTGACACTATGGTGAAGTATGAAAAGGGTGTTGAAAGATAATTAATAAGGCAAATTGGAAGTTGTGTGTTGTTTGTTTCCATATGTGGGTTTTCCTATTGTCTTCTATCACTTTTACCAAGAGAGGATCTTCRTAGTTTCCTATGAAAAAGTAAAGATAAGTACTTGCAAGTTGGTATTCTTCTGGTGCCATTCACACACTCTCTTCTGCTGTGTAATGCTTTGTGTAACTGCACTAGGATGAAATGTACTTATAGATATTACTCTGTCATTTCTGCAAAAACTCCAGTGAGATGATGTGTAATTACTAAACCGTTAGCCTTTCTGTATCAAGGTGTCAAGAGAAGTTTCCTTGACTGCGGATGGTTTCCTGCCTGAGGATGGAAGTGGCTGCATTGTGGGTGTGGAAGATCTTCCAGAGCAGGAGAGTGTGTGTGTTGCTACAGCAGCTGGAGACATCCTACTGTGCARTCTGAACACAAAGCAGGTAACGTGGTGGGACAGACATAACAGTACTGTGGGAATTCAGAGTAAAGAATAACACAATTTCTTTAGCAGCCTGTTGTATGATTATTGCATACTGAGCTGTGGCTAGTCTCTGTTCTCTGGGCAGACAAGATGATTTTTGTGGGAACCTTGAAAATTACTAAAGACAGAGTATATGCTTTGTAAAAGAACTGGAATTGAAATGTTCACTTCCAGATCCAGAGCCTGGGTCCTCCCCAGTGGGCTTCCAGCAGCAGAGGATCTCCTGAAGAGTCTTACAGAAAACAGGATATTGCTGAGACTTACGTCAAAAATAAAGCAATCCAYTCATAATTCACAATGTAGCCACCTTTTTATTAACAGTTGATACATATTGACATGACCTCAGATATGTCAGAAATTGAAATATGTGCTTTCTCTTCCTTCCTCAGTGTCAGATTTGTATGGTCTTCAGTAAGATACTTAAACACCACAGTAGCACCCTCTGAAATCTGAGTCAAGTCCCACAATACCAGTCCAACAGTGCAGGTTTAGGTAGGCATGAGGTGACAGTGGTCTATCTGGGTTAGCTGTAAGGTTGTGGTTATTTGCAGCTTGCCTGCTTTGGTTCATGTTTGCATTTGTTTTGCAGATACTTAAATAAGTACATAAAATATGAGGTCAACTGTATGTGGAAAACATGTCCTGTATTGCAGCTTACAGTATGTCATAAGGGAATAGAAATTAACAAAAGCATGTGATACAGGAAACTTTTTTTTCAGCAATAGATGTGTCAGAGACCAGGTTTAACTTCAGATTCTTTATTTGAGGGGTTTTGGATTACTTTCAAATTTTAAGGTTGTCATCTTTTGGTGCAGCCTGGGCACCAAGAAAGAGGTCTAGAATATTCCTCTGCTTGTTCTGAAACCCTGTGTATGTGGGTAATACTTAGTCTTCCAAGGAGCGCTCAGTCCCCCTTTCTTATCTGAAAAGATTGTGACACCCAAGCCTAATACCTTGAATAGCATCATCTTGTTGTTTATGACAAGTGGTGTATTGTTCTGTTCCATGCCTTTTTGCAAATCAGCATAGCACTGCATTACAGAACTTCTCTGCCCGCTGTTATGTTCTCATATAAAACTAGCCCAGTTTTCCATAAACGTAGGTGTATACAGTTGTCATGTTCAACATACACAGGCTGATCAGAGTTTAACTGTATACTGGAATTGTCTTGGTGAGAACSATTATGTCTGTGTTTTGTTACTAAAGAGTATTTACCAATGTATTMACACACCCTATCAGGCAATAATAGTATTGATAGTATACATGCTGACAAGACTGAGAGTTGCAGAATAAAGTTCTTACTGAAACRATATATGGTAGAAAGTGCTAGTCTGTACATTACCTGGGCTCTCATTCATAAACTTTCTGGGACTATTTGACTGAAACAGTCAGAAAAGTTTCTTTTGTTTTGTTCAACACAAAGTGTAAAGTTAGATTTGTGCCTTTTTTAAGTAGAAGGCAATTTTCTTTTGCCTTCGTAAATTTGCTTTTGTGCTGGAATAGTGCTGCATTCATGTTCTTGCAGTTGTGTGATCTTGTTTTGATCTTGCAGGTGGAATGTGTTGGAAGTGTGGACAGCGGTCTGAGTGTCATGAGCTGGAGTCCTGACCAAGAGCTTGTTTTGCTTGCAACAGGTACCAAYAGCAGCCTGTAAGCTTTCTGCCTTTCGAAGTAAAACTCACTATGACCAAAGCACAAAACACAACTCAGATACAGAGAGAAGAAGAAAAAGTTATTAAACTGGRACTAGGACTCAAAGTGGAAAAAACTCTACTAGATCCTATACATTAGAGTTCATTCCTCCTCATCCAGGAGGTGCTTCAAAGATCCAAGCAGAAACTGTTTAGGCCTAAAAAGCTGTTTTGTGGAAGAATTATTAGTCCTTAAAACCTTCCCAAGAAGTATATTTGATGTTGCCTCAAAAACATAGACTTCTTTATATCCCCATTTGACTTAGTAACAAAAGCTGTTTCTTGGCCTTTGGTAGGAAATATATGTGTCACAGGCCCAAATTAGCCACAGGTGTAACTCACCTAGAACTTGAAATTAGCCTCAGACAAAATAGACATAGAGTGCTTGAGGCTGAAAGGAAGATCTGGAGGTCACCTATTCCAACTACCTTGCTCAAAGCATGTTACCTAGAGCAAATTGTGGGAGATTGTGCCTGGTTAGGTTTGAGACCCCCATAAACCCCTGTGGGCATCCTGTTCCTATCTGTAATCAGCCTCAGAGTACAAAACAGTTTTCTTAGGTTTTAGGGGAATTTTCTGTGTTTTAGCTCATGCCCATTGTTGTGTGTCTCTTAGCATTATCAACGTCATGGCTGTGTCTTCTTTACCTCACCTCCAAAATAAATATGGTTACACACACTGATGAGATTCCCCTGAAGCCTTGTTTCTAGAGCAGTCTGGCTTGTCTCAGTCTTTACTTCTGTGACAGATTTTTCAAGCCCTTAATCGTCATGTGACCCTTTGCAAGACTCATTCCAGTATATCCTTGTCTGTCTTGTACTGAGATGCCCAGAAATGCAGTCAGCATTTCATGCATGTCTCACCAGCAGAGTGGATGAGCAGGATCACCTCCCTCAGACTGCTGGCCGCATTCCAAATGCTGCCAGGATGCTGTTGCCCACCTRTGCATCAGGGCATACTGCTAGCTGGTTCAGCTTAGTGCCCCAGAGATCTTGGTGAATTGGAAGGGTAGTGTGTGACCATGTGAATGATGTAGTTTATTTTTTTACCAAGCTGCTCTCCAGCCACTTAGTTCAGTCTGTCTTAGTGCYTGAGTATATTATTTTCCCTATGCAGGACATTACTTTCTTTCTTGTTGAGCTTTATGAACTTCTGGACAGCTCAACTTGCCTAGATGACAAGGTCCCTGTGGACAGCAGCACAACCTTCTGCTGYATCTGCTGCTTTTCCTAGTTCTGTGTCATCTACAAACTTGCTGAGAGTCCCATGCRCCACATCATTAAGGAGGATGTTAATCATTGCCCCTACTGTCCAGGGGCATGCCAGGGACTTACCTCAAGCTGCACTTCTGACAGTGCTGGCAGTCTTTTGARCTTAGTAGTTCCTCTGGTTTGCCACGTCCTTTTATCTGTCCCATATTTCATAGGTTTGTCTGTGTCTGTGGCACACAGCATCAAAAGCCTTATTCAAGATTAGTGAAAACCAATGTTCGCCCCATATCCACAAGCTGGTCATTTGATTGTAGGTAGTTCTCAGGATGGTATGATTTCCTTTTCATAAATCCRTGGTGACTGTTCCCAGTTGCCATCTTGTTCATGATATCTCAAGAGAAAAGGTACCTGGTACTAGTTTGGAATGTGAGAAAAGCTAAGGTTAGGMCAGGAAGCATATTTTTGAGGGGAAAAACTTGGAAGTGTACTGTTTCAGTTTGAGATTTCATGCTTYGAAGGATGTGTTCTCTGTAGTACCGTGTTTTCTATATTTGGGTCCATGACAGAACAGTAGGACAACACAGAAGAACACTAAGTTTTTATTTGCTGCAGATACCATTACTGTATTTAATACTTGCCTTACAGGTCAGCAGACACTCATCATGATGACAAGGGATTTTGAACCAATTACTGAGAAGCAAATCCACCAAGATGAGTTTGGAGAAGGTGAGAGGTGCACTGAAATGAAGTTGCCCTAACTGATGTGATTGATATGTTGGAAGTATGTGGAGAGTAAGGAAATGGAGCGGAGCACTTTGAGGCCCTAGGAGACATTTTATTTAGACTGTAATGCTGCTGGACAGCTCAAGGGGAAAGTCAATATTTTTACTTGTCAGGATAAATTCAAGTAAGTTCCATGTACCAGAGTACTTTCTGGACTATGTAACTTCCCTGCGGGTTTTTAGAATAAAATTTGGCAAGAAGGTGAGGGTTCCTTGAAGCTATGGTTGTGTGCATACTGCACAGTTGTTAGGGTATGATCTATAAATCTTCCACTACAATGATTATTTCTTCTTCAGGAAAGTTTGTCACTCTTGGCTGGGGTAAAAAGGAGACACAGTTCCACGGATCAGAAGGGAAACAGGCAGCACAACGCAAACAGACGGTATTATACTGGTTTTTTGTGTCAAATTGATGCTCTCTCTGGGAAAACATGTATAAAGAAAGTTTCTGTTTTTCCTGTAATGCCAATTTGCCATCACCTTTCTGGTAGCTGTCTTTTGTCTGTTTCTGGGTTGTCTGAAATCATGCATTTTTGTCATCCTTCTAATTCAAGAAAGCAGCAGGGACTACTTACTGCTTTTCATACAGAGCTCAATGTAAGATTTGCAAGCATTCCAGCATCAGTCCTGAACAATTTTGATTCACCATGTGTCCATCTTATCCACCGCTGGTCTATAAGCAGAGACCCTGGTGAATCGGAAGGATAGTGTGTGATCATGTGAAGAGACAGTCGTACGCACTTGGAGTTGGAGCAGATTGAATTAGACAGTTTTAATTCTAGTATTTCCTAAAACATGAGAATTTTGAATACATTTTGAATAACGMGTTTTTAACTTTGTAGCCTTGACACTAATGGATGAATTTCATGCTAAGGCTCTTGAAACAGCTGTTTAGACAAAGACAGCTGATGCCTTCCCAAGCTTTGATGCAACTTTCTTTTGTGTGGCTTCAGGAAGTGTTACCAGCATCAGCCTGGGATGACGGCAGGCCTCGGGTGACATGGAGAGGAGATGGGCAGTTTGTTGCAGTGAGTGCAGTCTGTCCAGAGACAGGTATGGCACCAGACTTCTTTGAAATAGCAATGTGTGTAAGGGGCTTTTAAAGCAAAATCTAGGTAAGTCAAGAACTGGATGGTGTTTRTGGTCTTTTGGCCACTTAAAACGGGTGAGTTGAGCTATTTAATTGTCCTTTTCTCTGTAMTGATGTTCTCAGAGGCATTTTACAGACATGATACTTCACGTATTTTCTTTGGTTTTCAGCTCAGTGACATGCCAGGGGGGTTATACTACTTTGTAGATACTGTCTGAACTGCTTCTTTCACCTGATCAAGCTTTAAGTAGTATCTGATAGCCTCCTAAAGCCAAATAGATTAATCTGTTTGGGTTTGTATACCCACTGTCTCTCATACTGGCAGTTTTTGTAAAGTACTGGTAYTACATTTTCCTTGGTTTCCCTTGGCCCCGAAGTCAGAGAGGTGATGAGCATATGCATTTCTTCTGAGACAGTAACTGATACATTCCATGATAAATAATACTTTTCGAACAGTTCAAATGATCAGCTTATTGAACTGCCCCAAACTGCACTGCTCTTCCACGAATTTGTGGTTTTATCTTCAGTACTTTCAGTTAAGAGAGGATCGTAAATTTATAGGAAGATTTTGACATTTCCATAGTGAAAGCTGAGAGGGAAATGACTATGACTGAACTGCATCAGACTGAAATTCCTAACACAGTTCCTTTGGTCACTTGATTACTATGGGAAAACTGGCTGAGGCAGAATAAGTTCTTAGCCTTTAAGGTGTACAAGAGAAATCTTCTTTTCATTCATGTGCACCAAAATTTGCTCTTCCACCCTCATAAAATTAGGGAAGTCTCTTCCCAGTGTTTCCTTAGACCTTTGTCTCACTGCCTCTCTCAACCTGTAGGTGCTCGGAAGGTCCGGGTATGGAGCAGAGAGCTTGTGCTGCAGTCAACAAGTGAACCTATCTCAGGATTGGAACAAGCACTGTCATGGAAGTGAGTAGTAAATCAGTCTGCATGCTGACAGCAATGTTGCTTTCCATTCTCTGGTCACAGTCTTTGATCAKCATCAATTTCATTTCTTCAGCATTTTGTTGATTTTTCCCATAACTTGAAAAAAGCTGCCTTCTGATTCAGCATGAGGAAGAGTAGCCCTTTAAGCGCTGAAAAGCCACATATTTGTGTTGCAAATGGGAAAAAGGGTTAGATTCTCTGCATAGAATCAGTGTCAGGTAGATTTGGGTTTAGCTGTGTAAAAAGGATACCTGTATAAAAGATTCCTTTAGCTGTATAAAAGATTCCTTTCCCAGTGCTGACATTTATTTGCTCACCTGTAAATATCATCAGCTCTGGTCTGTCCTATGACTTTATCTGATCAGTGCTGAAGAAACACATCCTCTGCTGCCTTTTTCTTCATGTCACTGGAGAAAWGTGAGATTATTGGTGTTCAAAATGACAGCTAGTAATTGTGTRAGCAATGACTTTTCGTTTGGCTCTTTTTTAAGACCCTCCGGAAACCTGATAGCATCTACACAAGAAAAACCCAACAGACATGATGTGGTTTTTCTGGAAAAGAATGGACTTCTTCATGGAGAATTCACCCTCCCATTCCAGAAAGGGCAGGTCAAAGTAAGTTCTTTGTCTGGGCTTCTTTGATGAGAGTGTAATGGAGAAGAGGACTAGATCTTTTCCAGATACTAGGGGCAAGTTTTTAACCTAAAACTTAATGCTTGTCCTAAAGGAAGAAGTGACCTAAAAAGGGAACAATGTAGAAGCCTGTGGAGAGAATGCAATGCCCTCTGCAAGCCCATAGTACTGAGACAGATAGTACAGGATGATTGTAGCCCTGGGGTACCTCTGGGCTCTGTATACTTTCTACCAGGCAAATGATTCTAAAGTGCTTTTCAGTATGTCAGCCTTTGCAAAAGTGAGGTCATATACTCACACTATCCCAAAGAAGTGAGAAGCTAATGCGAGGGCATTACTTCAGCTTCTGTGCTTCGGTACTGAGAGGTCTTTTGGCAGATGCTTTCTCAGTGACAAAGAAAGCAAAGAGAACACTGCTATCATTTTCATGGCCTCTTCATCTTTGGGGTTCTCACCTTGTCAGGAGCTTTGCAATACACCAGGGTTATCTTTGTGTATTTATCCATGCACCTTACCTTGTGAAGATAAGGAACTCCTCCTGGTCTTGTAAACTATCTGGGAGCAACAATATCAGAGCCATGTTTGTTTCTGCAGGTTAATGAAATGCTTTGGAATGCAGATTCCACAATCCTGGCTATATGGCTGGAAGACTTGAAGGTGGAAAATTCCAACCCAAATACTTACGGTGAGAGTGCTGTGTGAGGTTCTGGCTCTTAATGCTTGCCTGCAAATGTTGTTAGCAGTGAGTACTTACCTGCAAGTTAGGAGACAGTGTGGAAGCTTACTAATGGCTTTGAGACTGCTGTGCTGGTGTCATGGTTTAACTCCAGGCAGCAGCCAAGCCCCACATAGTCACTTGCCAACTTTCCCATCAGCAAGGTCAGGGAGAAAATCAGGAGGGTAAAAGCTGGAAAACTCGTGGGTTGAGATAATGGCAGTTTAATATGAGAAAGCAAAAGCCATATATGACATAAAAAACAAAGCAAGGAATTAATCCAGTGCTGCCTGTGGGCAGGCAGGTGTTCAGTCATGTCTAGGACAGCAGGGCCCCATCATATGTAACAGTTACTTGGCAAAAAGATGCCATCACTCCAAATATTCCCCTCTTTCTCCTTCTTCCTTCAACTTTATATATGAATATATAAATGTTTTATGGTCCGAAATACCTCTTTAGTCAGCTGAAGTCGCCTGTCCTAGCTGAGTCCCTCCTGACCCCCTAAGCACCTGCAACTTTCTTGCCAAGTTGGCAGTACAAAAAGCAGAAAATATGTCGCCTTTCTGTAAGCCCTACTTAGCAATTAATAAAACATATCTATATTATCCACCCTATGTTCTGTACCAAGCCAAAACACTGTCCCATACCTTACACTGTGAAGAAAGTTAACTACCCCAATCAAAACCAGCTGGTGAGGAAGAACTGGCAGTTCAGCCTGAACTTGAAGCATCTTCCAGGCTGCTGTAACTAAGTGGTACAAATGGAGCACTAAAGATCTGATCCCTTCATAAAGCAAGGGTACCATCACACAAGGGTAGCTCAATGAATTCTGGGATTGACCTTCACACAGAGTATGTTGTTTTCTTGTGCTGGACATTGTATGACACGGTTCATGGACTGAAGGCTAGGACTATTATTTTAATGGCTCTTAACCCACCCCCAGAAGAGCAGTGATGGTTGGGRGGGTAGTTTTGAGCTGGGTCTCAAGTACTAATCTGTAGTAACAATTTGTTTTTCTACAGTTCAGCTGTGGACCACAGGAAACTATCACTGGTACCTGAAACAAAGTCTACACTTTGGTAGCTTGGAGGAAAATCGGTTGGTGTCACTGCTGTGGGATCAAGAGAACGTGTACAGACTACATATACTCTGCCAGGGCTGGCATTACCTCTTCTACGACTGGCATTGGTCCACAGACCATGGGCTGGGAGAGAATAGTCAACATATGGCAAATGTGGCTGTCATAGATGGGGGTAAGCAGTGGGTCTAGGGTCAGAAAAAGTGGTGTAGCCTTTTATATTCAGTCTGTGTGGGATTATGATAGTTCTTACAGTTGTTTCTCCAAAGCTGTTAGGGAAGGGTCCATGTCATTGGAAGAAACTTCGCGAATAGTTTAGTGAAGATAACCACTAAGAACACAGTAACCATTTTCCTGTAACATTATTTCTACTTCCAGTAAAGAGGCCAGAAAGAGTCTCACTAGCATTTGGACTTGGCTGCAGCTTGGATTTTATTCTTTTTTCTTCCACAGACAAAGTKCTTGTCACAGCGTTCCAGCACGCTGTAGTGCCTCCACCCATGTGCACCTATGAGCTCCAGCTCCAACAGGCGGTTAATCAGGTTGCATTTCATACAGATCCCAARCATAGTGGGGACATGGCCATCCTGGATGCTGGTAACAGGATCTCCTTGTACAGATACGGTGAGAGYACATTGTAACCTTGTTAAAAGAACACTGTGTTCCTGAGAGTGGTACCTTGCGGAACTGCTAAGGTGGCGGTCACTTAAACCGTTAATAATTAGGAACAAGATACTTGGGTTAATTGTGAGTTCAAGCTCTGCTCTCATTTCCAGTAGTTTGAGTGCCACAGGAGCATTTTGATGGTGCATTGACTTTGTGATAAGACAGTGTTTGGCTCTTGGCTATGTTCTTGTGCTGGTAATAGTCCCCTGCCTAGCTTCAGCCTGAGTGCAGCGCATGGTATCTTGCATAAGCTGCTCTTGATGGCATGATGCTGACTGGCACTGGGAAGTGTCTGAAAATCTGTCTGGGGCAGCCAGCACTTCCCAAAGCAGTTCTGTATGCAGTGTGCTATGAGGAAACAGTTGTTTTGTACTGTAATGTTGCAAGGTGACTGTCTTCCTCAGAGTGAGTGTTAATGAGAACTACCTGTTGGCTGTACAAATAGGGATGGCATTTTCTGACTTTTTAAATAGATTCAAAAGGCTGGTTTTTGATAAGATTGAAGATGGAAGGAACTCTGTTGGGAGGGTCCCTAAACTCYGCTTTGTTCTGCTTTGTGCTTACTAGGACAAGGAACAGTGAATGACCCTACTGTCAAGATTGGAGCTGTGGGTGGAAATGGATTTAAAGCAGCTGTGGAAACACCATGCCTGGATAAAACCTACAGGTAATATGGAGCTAGTAAAGCTGTGGAGGGGAGAAGAGGGTTGTAACTGGCTGGATGTTTTAGAGGTCACAGCTCTGACCACTTTTCTCAAGATTTTTAAGAGGCTGTCAGATAACATGGTTTCATTTTGTTGACACTGCAAATAGTGCTGAGAAATGCCCTTTACTGAGTCATTGAGGAAGCTGTGACTGTCAGTGACAGCATTGAGATATCCATTCCTGTGCGTGGTGCTGCAGTTTGGCTCTGGGAGCAAGAGCATAAAGCAGTGACTGTGCACTGCCCAGGCCCATGATCATGGCACAAAGAGCAACAGAGCTACTTGCATGGAAGAGACAGTGAAGTGACAAGGTTAAAAATCTCACTGTGCTCTCTGTTTGTTCCTAGAGATAGTGGGCRTGGAAGCACCTACAGAAAACAGATGGAGCTTCCTAGGTCTCATCCTTTATTTCCAGCCCAGCCTGTGGCAGGAGTCMTGCTTTGGGTATCTGTTTCTGCACTGGGGTCCTCCTAGTCATGCTATGTATCTGAACAGCCATGCTGCACTTAGGAAGYCTTCTGCCTCTCTAGTGTGGTGGCCCGTTGAAATCATGTTCTATTTGCGTCCCAACCTCTCTTACCTTGTGACAGAGTTGATGTGAGCTGTGGCAGCAATGAAGTGATGAATCCTCTGGGGCTCCGATTTCTCACCTGGCTGCCAGATGACAGYTTCCTTGTTGTTGGTCAAGGTCAGCATGCTGCTCAGTCTGTCCTTCAYCATCTGACTGCAGTGCCTCACGTGGCTGGAGCTGAAGAAGAGTGCCTGAATTTACGGTATTAAAGATCTGTCAGTTGTGSCTCAAGTCTGAGGATGCTTCTGGATAGTGCCTAGAAGGAATTAAGTCTCATATTAGACTTGCAGCCTGGAGGCTGTGGGTTAAGGAATTTGGCTCTCTTCCTTCAGGAGAGCCAAACAGCTCATGAATCTGCCTACTGGTCAGTACTTGCCTATAGTCCTAATGCCTACACCTAATAGATATAATACACCTATAGTCCTAATGCCTACAAGGGTGTATGCTAAACATGCTGGTGTCAACCAGTACAGGATAGCCCTGTTCCTTGGAATCTGAGACCCTTGGGGAATGGGGGGGGATGGCACATGACACTGAATTCCTCCACTCTACCTTTTGCCCACCTTTATCAAGGTCCAGAAGGGTACCACTAGCCACTGAAACTGTCCTCCTCCGCCTCCTCCTCCTCCTCCTCCTCCTCTCTCACTGTTTTTTGTGAAACCAGTTGAGCTAAAATCAGACACAAAAAAAAATACGCTTCCCAAAGAGGTCAGGTATCAGCACAGAACAGGATGCTCACACAGGAGAGACAGGATGATTTACATTTGAACTGTAGAACAGAAAAAGAGGTGTGTGCTTGCAGAGTGCTGCAGTACAGTGACCAGCAACAGTTAGGCAAATGCCCATTGGCTGGAGGTGCTCGTGCTCTGTGGTSCCAATGTCAGCTGACATAGGTGTGAGAAGACTGCAGAAGATCCTTACATGAACGAAGTGTGTTCATGCTGGAGATGTGCATCTTTTCATCTGGGTAAAAGAAAGGCAGGAACGAGGTGTTAAGTGTGTCTGCCATGACTGATGTTTTCTCTGTTTTGCATCAGGTTGTCAGTGCCTGTAGATGGAGAAGTGATCAGCCTGTACTGCAGCCCGGTGACCAAAACTGTAGCCTTGCAGCTGGCTGACAGACGGATTCTAAAATACCTGTGGGGTAAGCTGGGCCCTGTTAATACCTGGTCTTAGGTGTAGTTATTACAGATTCCTTAAAAGATTTAATGAGATTATTTGACTTTCAGGGACTTGAGTGACTCTTGCTGAGTAGTTGGTGCTGCCTTTCATGTTCTCTGAGGTCCCAGAAATGGGCTGAAATTAGTGATTTGTGTGAGAAATGTTAATTTTATACTAATACACATATATTTACATACATGTGCCCACACACACTAAGTTCAGTGCTGACTGACTGCCACATCCATAGTTATTCTCTCTGATTCCACGGTGGAATAAAGGCACTACTGAGCCCCTAGAAGTTACCATCTTCTTGTCTGCTTTGTCCTGGACTTACGTGCCAGCGTTCCTCCCCTCTGTCAGATAGTGTAGTTTATTCCCAGGTCTGGTTTTCTTCAAATACGTGTCATGTGGTTTTAATGTGTGAATTTTTGATTGGTTGGATAACAATTGGACCTTCTTTGCTCTTAGAGGCTGCTACTCCAGTCCTTGAGCCCTGGTGGAATAGCAGTGGCTCAGCTGTTCAGTTCCCCTACCGTTGTGTGCAGACTTCCATCACAACAATCAGTGGTGAAGTAAGTGAGACTGTGAGCAGATTAAATTCCCTACTCGTTTGTTCTCTGTGTCAGAAGTACACCATGGTCCTCTACCCAGGGCCCAAGAATATTTGTTCATAGTGTTCTTTGTAAGGCCCTGTGCAGAGCTGAGAGCTTGCAAATCTTTCATTTCCTTCTAGAGCATTTCTAGTGGATTGCAGTTAACACTCAACCACTCCATTCTGTGAATACAATGCATAATTTCATTAAATAGTGAGAAATTTCAGAYTGGAAATTTCTAGCAGTTAACTGCCATGCTTTTTTTGAAAGGACCATTTTGCATTATTTTCTATGAACTTAACCTATTAGCACAWATGCTGCTCTGAGTTACTGCAGATCTCCTACTCCTGTATTTTCCTTTTAAGAGTTGGTTTCTTAATWTCTACAACAGCTTAAAGAATGATTAGGTGTTTTGCAGGTATTTCAGGGGTTTCTTTCCTTCAGTTTGTATCCAGCTGTAGGAAGCTGCTTTGTTCTGCTCTGTATTGTAGCTTTTCCTCTGTGTCCTGGACCAAATTCTACTGAATAGAAAAGTCTAAATTTCTGGCATGGTTTCTGCTTCCRTTTTGTGACTGTGCAGTTACAGAGTAGGACAAGCTGGATTTTTAGCCGTCAGTGTTTAAAGATGCTTAAGTTTTAGCCCTCCTGGAAGAGGGGTTGGATGATTTGCTGTCTGCTACTCTAAGTAATTCATGTGAGGTACTTTTTACCTAATTGTAAGGTACTTCAATCCCTTGCTTGTCAATGTTGTGAAATACTGGAGGCTGTGATGCTAATAGCTCATAGTTGTCCTTCTTTTTGTACAGGAAGTAATCTTGGGCCTCACAGATCGATGCCGACTTTTTGTAAATGATACTGAGGTACAAAGCTTTTGCTTCTTGTTCCATTCCCTTTTCCTCTGCCAAAGGCAGCTTTCCTGTTCACTAACCTGTGATAAACTTCATTTTTCTACAGGTTGCTTCAAACATCACATCATTTGCAATACACAATGAGTTTTTGTTGGTGACAACCAACTCCCACACCTGCCAGTGCTTCTGCTTGAAGAACCTATCAGTGAAAGGTAAATATCAACACTGGCTGCCTGCTGCAGCTAACTCATAGCATTTGTCTTGGAAGCACAACATGTCCCCGTTTTTCACATCCAAACTTGCTGTATTTCGGTTCCTCAAAGGAGCTATTTAAGACATGAGAGTAAGAGAGCTGCTACCAGAGTGCAAGGAGCACAGGAAACTGACTATATGTCACACACTTCTCACAGGGAAGAGAATTTGTGCTGTAGTTGACTCTTCCACTGTTTTCAACAGCCTAACCCTGCATTCTCTCCCTTCCCTCCATGTCCAAAAGAAGTCATCTGTGTGKTAGAGAAGTGATCACTGAAGGAAGAGTTTCTGTTGGTGTTTGGCTGTGAGAAGTGTGATGACCTTGGTGAAGGCAGAATGACAGCTTATTGTTCCTTTACACCTTTCAGTGGTACTCTGACCTGCCCTGTTGAGCTTTGTTATCCTGTTGTACAGAGAACACATCCCTGCTTYGTGTAAAGGTACATTAGGGATTAGCACTGAGCAAGTTTCATCCTGGCAGGAATTATTGAAGATTGCTGCTGTGTTGGTGGCTTGGTTGGTCCAGTACAGCCTTGCTGGGCTCCTGTAGCATRAGAAGTCCTTACTGAGGTGCTGTGTTGCATGTGCCGTGTGTGGTGATAAATGTTGTCTTCAGCCCTCCAGGCTGGCCTGAGCGGTGCCACTGCGCCCAACAGTGAGACCCTTCGCAAGGTGGAACGAGGTTCACGTATCGTCACAGTTGTTCCCCAGGACACAAAGGTTGTGCTGCAGGTCAGTGCTCTGCCCATGTCTGCTGACATCTGCTATCAGGGCGTGCAGGAACCCATCACAGTGGGCACCTCACCAACCTGCAAACAGTGTGTGGGCTCTAAAAAACTGGTGTCCTATCGTGCTGCAGCACGGCACTTCACAAATCTCCAGCTGCCTGGCTGGAGGCAGAGGGAGTTGGAGCATGCTTGTGGAAGTTAGGTTCAGTACAGGCAGATAGGTACGTGCAGAACAGGGAAGGACTATTCAAGTTTCTAATGGCTGAGATAGTGTAGTGGTACACATTGTGTCTTCGCACCGTGAATCTCAAGWTTCACTTCCTAGTACTTACTAGCAGTGCTCCATTAGCCTTGGCCCTTAGTTCTTTGCTGAGCTCACTCTTAAGAACCAGCAGAGATTCACAGAATGGAGAAGGATGTAATTTGAGAGGTACTTGTGGAAGTAAGAAGCCCAACATCCTCCTCAGAGCCGGGGTAACCTCAAAACTTGATCAGATTTCTCTGGGTCGTGCCTAGTTGAGTTGATTCCATTGAAGGAATGCTTCTGAACTGACAGAATGTTCAGGTATTTTTCCACAGGTGTTGAAATTGCATATCCTCTGAAGTGAGCAAACAGGCCCATGCACTTGCAAGTAGCAGACAGGCCTAAGAAATTGACCAGTCCTCACTTCATTTTCAATGTAGGCAGAGTAATTRCAAGTAAGTAATTGTGTGGATCTTGTGTTTTAGATGCCAAGAGGAAATCTGGAGACTGTTCACCACCGTGCTCTGGTTCTTGCCCAGATTCGGAAGTGGCTAGACAGGTAAAAGGCACTAGTGTATTCTTGTTTTCCCTCCCCCTGCCTAGCTRTTAGAGGCTGACTGACCTGGAAAAGAGAGGGAGGCTAAACTCAGGAATTGACCCTGTTAGAAGGAGCAAAACTGCTTCTGGGGTAACCACCTAGAAGTGGTACCAGCTTTCAGCAGTGCCAGGTGCTACTTATTTCACCACTGAAGGGCTTGTTGCATGTGCTGATATTGTGTGTGGGAGAAATCTTCATCTGCTCCATTCTTCAGACATCTCAGTGACATCAGGATTARGCTGGCTGTTTCCCATTTGTTACTGAATTAATCTACATTGAAATTTTCTGAAAGGGAAATTAATCCAAAATGTAACACTCTCTTTTAACGGAGATGAAAATATTGTAAGTTTTGTATTGCTTCATCAACTTTGCATGCTAGTGTGTCCTGCTACAGGGGTGAACAGTATTGACCTTGCACATTTTTCTGGAAGGCAATCTACACAGCTTTTTGTGTAGGCTGTTCTCATCCTACTGGTTCTTTGCTTATCTCTAGTCATTTACTTTTTTTGTGGGTGTTTCATCTTATCCACTATGTAAAYTGTTCCACTTGATTCATTCCCCCAGGCTTATGTTTAGGGAAGCTTTTCAGTGTATGAGGAAGCTGCGAATCAACCTCAATCTTCTCTATGACCACAATCCCAAGGCAAGTCTGCCCAGTTCTCTTGTGTCGTTTGCCATGCTAATCTACCCTGGAATCCATCACCACTTAACAGTGGGCTCAAAAGTGTAGGTGGTGCTGTAATTTCYGCTTTCAGCAGTGGTGGCTGTTCTGCACTGCAGTATTATCATGCAGACAGATCAGATTTACCATTTCCTTCACCCCATGCTTTCAGAGAAGGTCTCTGAATTTATTCTGGATGTACATGTTCTTAGTGTTCAGAATAACAGTGGTAATATTATTGTTCATTTCAGGTATTTCTGGAAAACACAGAAACCTTTATCAAGCAAATAGATTCTGTCAACTACATCAACTTGTTTTTCACAGAACTGAAGTGAGTATAAGTCTGCAAATGGAAGCATGCGTGTAATCAGTGGTGCTACATTATTTTGTCARAATACTGGCAACTCTTCAATGTGCRTGCAAGGAACCAGTTTGAAATCTGGCGTGTTGAGTCATAAAGGCTTGAGTGAGCTCAATAGTTTTAGGGACAGTGTGTCTTGTTGGGAATTCCAGCTTATTGGCAGCCATTAGATTTTTGCAGCAAGTAATTGATGCGTTATCTGCCTGCTTTGGTATCTCTTCTGGTTTGCTGTAGAGCAGTAAACCCAGATAGAGAAAGTTTTGCTCCCTCATAAAAAGGAGCAAGGCAGCACTGCTTATCTGGAGTCTGAGGCCAAGGTACTTCCTTGGATCCTCAAATCAGGTCCCCTGACTTCCTTCTTGTAGGCTGAGTCATGAGGCTTCACAGCAATGCTAAAGTCAATAGTTGTGTCGGAGTTGATGCTATCACTTAGGTGTTCAGCTTGATTTCCRGTTTGGACCTGACCAGAAATAATAGCAAATTACTTCTTTTTCTAAATGTGCAGTGGATAAATCCATAGTGGATTTAATGGAAGACAGTTCTATCTTGTAAATCTTGCCTTCTGATTTTTCTTGCTAGTGAAGTAGTTGTTTGACCAGTTCTAGGGGTTTTTTTTMATGCCTCTCTTAGTTGACAATCAGTTGGGACTGCTAGAGATTTTGAAGAGCTTTCTGTTAGTGTGGCAGTTGTTGAATAGTTATTTTCTGCATGCATTTGAGTTTCTTAACCTTATTGTCTTTGTTTTGGGCTATGTGACAGATGGTACTCTAATTCACATTACCTGTTTTTATCTAGAGAAGAAGATTTCACGAAGACTATGTACCCATCTCTGAATGATAGCAGTAATACCCAACCATGCCAGCATCCTGATCAGAAAAAAGTAAACCTCATATGTGATGTGATGAGAGTTGCCATGGAGCACATTGAYCCTCAAAAGTGAGCATTTTCTTACTGTAGGTGAAGGAGCCATTAGAGACTTCTAGAATGTCATTGGCAGCAAGCAAAGCTGTCCTTGACTTAAGTTATTTGCTGTAGGTTCTCTGAGRTGAGCTTGTGTTCCACAAAATTAAGTACACTGTGCCTTCCTTGTTCTGAGAATGCTGTTCTGGAAATATCTAATAATTCCACAGATAGCAAAATAACATTTTACTACCAGAATTAAAATAACAGATGCAGGATGCTTATAAAGATTTAGGACGTACACTCAATTYAGGGTCAGTCTGTGTGGTATGGGAATGAAGACATGAGCAAGATTCTCGTGTTGGGGAGTTGTTGACTTTTGAAGCAGCTGGCCCTTTGGAAAGATCACAGCTCTTCCATTTAAGACTGAATTATTTTGTAAATAATTACTTCCATGTTCCCGATTAAATACCTTTTTGGTAACCATCCTCTTTGGATGAATCAACACCAGACAAGGATTAAAGGTGGGAAAGCAGACTAATTACAGTGCCTGGTGAAATGGTGCTAAAGCATTTACTTGGATGTTAATGTTAAGCAGTGGAGGGAGGAGCAACAGATGGTGGAGAGCTGCTGAGCCCTGAGAATTTAGACACCTTCCAGCAAAGTGTTTCAGAAAACAAATCTTCTGCTTGACTGGAAAAGCTATTTTGAAACAGTAAACGTGAACTGTATGAATGTATAAATAATGCTCTAGAAAGCTTTCCTTTTATAAAGGCTTTTTTTTATGCCAAATTTCATTTGGGAAACTGTGTCCAGCTATCTGAACTTTAAGAGAGAGGTGTGTCCTCTTCATCATTCTTGGCTGGCATGGTAAGGAAGCTCATTCAGCTCAAAACACTTCAGTTTTGTGACATGTGTGGGAAGACATGCTGTGTAAAAAACCCTTTCTGGTATATTCTGTTCTTGTCCCATGTTCTCCGCATTCCTTTTGAAGGATCAAGATGCCTTAGCRATTCCTTTTTTTTAACTAAGATATAAACTAGAATGTGCACATTCTATGCTAAAAAAAGAATAAGCTGTGCTTCTGCCTTCTCACTTTCTCATTCACTGCTTCTTTTTTCTTCAGATACTGCCTATCAATACTGACAGCACATGTAAAGAAAAGTCCTCCAGAACTGGAAATTGCTCTCCAGAAGGTTCATGATCTTCGAGGTTTTGTATCAGAAACTCAAAGGTTTTGAAAATGGGTGGTTGGCAGGAGTTTTATGTTAAGGAAACATTGCTGWCCAGCCAGAATTGTTAAGGATACTTCCCTGTCTGACTACCCAGGAGCCACTCGGCAGTCACATAGGCACCACCTGAGCCGTGACCAAAGCCCCTTCACAGCTACACCCCCACACTCRGGCAGACCAGGATTCCTTACCARTTCAACCCCAGGTTTTTCATACCAGAGTCTTAAACATCCCAGTCCTTAACATAATTTAGTCTTGGTGCAATAACTAAATAACCAAATAGCAGCTTGAGCTAGTGTCTCTGAGGAGGGTCTTTGAACAAAGGAGCCCCTGGCCCTGTGAGAACTTGTGTACTTCACAGTCTATCCCTGCAAAAATCTGAGGGTCCTTAGCTCCTGCTGTGTCTCAGTATGTCACAGGTCCCTGTCCCCTTTGTTATGCAGGGGGTTGGCAGTTCATACTGGAGCTCTCACCACCCAGAGCTCAACTTGGAGCAGTGGGAGCAGTAGCTGCTGCTGCACCCTGAGCTACTTGCACTGAATGCATTCCTCAGCACTTTCTTTGTTAGCAAGGTTCACCCAGAAAATTATTTTAAGGTGACTGTTTATGGAGCAAGCCAGAAAACACAAATGTACTTGAAACCAGCTRTGTGTTTAAGTATAGCAGCATATCAGCTAAGATATGCTGCTTACATGCCCTCAGCTCACGCTTTTACCTGGATTTACTGGCAGATACCCCAGAGTTGGACCTGTTTTTGTTTTCCAGTTGGAGCTCTAGTTTTCCCAACATGTAATAGGAAGATTTTATTCTGGATCCTGGTATATCAARCTAGGAAATGTTGCCTTTATTCTGTACTGATGCTTCCAGCTCGTCACAGTGCACGATTTGTGCTGTGCTTGGGATGGTCCTTGAAGTTGCCCAGTAAAGGCAAAATCACCATTCTGCAAATCAGAACAAGCTGTTAGTGTGGTGATGCCACTCTGATGTCAGGGTTGTGCTTGATGATGCATTCTTCACTCACAACAGGGTTCCACTGCTGATGGTGTAACAGATCAAATGCTGCTTTATCTTGTTGCAGAAAGTACTACGCCAGATGTCCAAGCTGTGAGTGCAGAAGAAGCACTGAAGTACCTGCTTTTCCTTGTGGATGTCAATGAATTGTATGATTATTCCTTGGGGACGTATGACTTTGATTTAGTCGTCATGGTGGCAGAAAAGTCTCARAAGGTCTTGTCTTACAGTTCCAGCTAAGGAACTTTTTTACTTTCTTAAAGGTTCTTTGCTGTCTGCAGATCAGTGTGTTTTCTTAGTAATGGCTTTCTACTCAGGGAGTATTTCCAGTTGGTCAGAAGCCCTGTGTGTGCTTGGGATGGTGCTGGGAAGGTGTCAAGTCTCTCCATTCTTTGGTACTTCTTGTGCACAGCTTTGGAAATTTGTTTTTGTTCAAGACGAAACAGTGCTCTTGTAGAGCAGCAGGGCGAAATAGCTCTGGGGAAGGGAGGAACTGCTATGTGAAGTGTTATGGCTGCATGCAGTCCATTCTCAGTTCTGTACTCTCGATTCTTGCTTTTTTAGTGGTGCCCATGATAAGAGTGTGTGTTTTCATGCAGGTTTAATGTGGAATCTCTGAACTGAAATGCCCATCAGGATTTTCAGAGTTTTCTAATGTTACAGCAAAGTCTGCTGCCCGTCAGTTAGAACACCCTATTCATGTTAACAGGGTTTATGACCTTTGGTGTGGGGAGGTTGATCAGCCTTTTGGCTGCAAATTTATACATGATCATAGATAACAGAAAACTACACTTGATACAGGACAAAGCCTTGAATTTTAAATGTTGCCACCCTTTAGATAGTGCTGAAGTCTCTGTGGGAGAGTCTAGCAGTTTAAGTCAGTAATTTCTGGCAAGAGTATAGATACAAATTGGTTCTTTCAGATGGCTTACATTTGAGGGTTGAAAAGCACCTCTTTAGTGTATTACCATGTATTTTCAAATATGGGACTGTCCGTTTATGAAGAGGGGAGCAAATAAGGATTTTAACAGGTTACCTCAACTGCAGTTTTTATTATTCTTTGCAGGACCCTAAAGAATACTTGCCCTTCTTAAATACACTTCGGAAAATGGAAACCAATTATCAGCGATACACAATAGACAGACACTTGAAGAGATACACAAAAGCTCTTGGCCACCTCAGCAAATGTGGTAGGTGTCCTCGGGAGGATTTCTGCAGGGTAACATTTCCATTTTGGAGAGCCTGTGGGGGGAAATAGCTGAAAAAAGAGAAGGATTGCACAAGACCATCTTCCYGTCTGGTAATGAGTGGTGAACTTCTGCTACATGTTCTTTGTACTGTAGTTGGTGTGGGGAGAAAGAAGTGTTTATTGCTCTGCAATCATGAAGTCTTGTATTGTTCCTGTTTAAGAGAATTGTGCCTGGTTAATATCTCTKGCAAAAGTGGAACAAACATCAAGGAAATGAATGCCTTGATTTTGCAGTAATAGAATGGGTGCTTTTCCACCCAAGCACTTCTAGTTCACACCTCTAGTTCTTGATGCTGTGAATTCAGACTGTCTAGAATGTACTTTTTCTTCTTTTTTTACAAAAAGTGAATAATTTCTGCAGGTCCTGAACACTTCTCTGAATTTCTGAACTTGGTGAAGGATCAGAATCTGTATTCTGAGGCCTTGAAGCTGTACCTCTCTGACACTCAGGAGTACAAGGTGTGTAACTGTGTGTAATGGTGCAGTGTCAAAGCTTTTTATTCACTTATGCATGTGTTTGGATGTCCTCAGCGCCTTGCATGCGGACARGAATGAAACTGTAGCTGTTTGTGTTCAAGTTCTGTAGGTCATTACTATTCCAGTGGTGTCTGAGATGACAGCTGGAATGACTCTCAGCATTAACCCTGCAGGGCCTGTCATCGATGGTTCTTATTCCTTTGATCCTATGACTTGGAAGTTCTTTTCTTTCTGCTGCACTGACTTGCAGTGTGCTGAAGAACTCCATAACCTCATAAAGACTTCTTCCTGTCTTGACCTCTGTGTGGCTGGCACATTGTGTAGGGACAATTTGTTATCCTTGAACTGTTTTGAAAAGTGTTAGAGAGCTTCGACACTTAGATGTGCTGTTTCCTAGGACATACTGTCCCTCTCTGGTTTCAGTAACACTGAAGAACATCGGTTTGTCCAAAGCTGAGATAAAATGTAAATTCATTTAATGTAATCTAATGTAGATATTGTAAATACACAACAAACAAGTCTTTGTACGAGGAGCAGTTATGTGAGAGGGGAAACAAAGAAAACAGGTCTATTTGCAACACAGTAAAAGCAGAAGGGAGTCTTACTCATGAGGGAAGTCTGTTCCTGAATKACTCACTGGGAGTGTTTTATTATTCCCCCAGTATCCTTCCAGTCAAATCTGCCTGCCCCTTCTTCATGGAGACACTCCATGAGCTTTGAGTAGCCTATAGAGGTACAGAGCTTGTCTGTTCCCTTGTGCCAGTGTTTGTTTCCTAAAGTAGGTTGGTTCAGAGAGACATTATAACAAAAACTGCTCATGTGGGTGGGGAGGAAGGGTCTGGTTTCCTGCAGTATCTAGTTTACCCAGCATTTGATGTGGAGAGTTAGGTACCTCCCCATGGCATTTGCTGTAGCTCTGCAGTGTCTCYGTGTGGTCATCATCAGCCTTCAGCTTGATGTAGATTGAAATGGGGTAGAAACTTTGTGCACAGAAACTCCTTGGAGAAGCTGAGTAATAGGCTTTTGTTGATAGGCCCTTAATTTTTACTAATGGAGAACTGCTACTGACTTTACTGATTTTTTTTTGCCCCTTCCAGGATATCAGTGATGCATATGGGGAGTACTTGAGTCAGAAGCAGCTGTGTGAACAGGCTGGATTGATATTTGCTCGTGCTGGCATCTTTGCAAAAGCACTTGATGCTTTTCAGAGCAGTGGCAGCTGGCAGCAAGCCCTGTGCATGGCATCACGGCTTGGTTACACAAAGGATAAGCTGTCCAACCTGGCACGGAGCATGGCAGGTAGGCCTTGAAGAGATGGAAGTGTGCAGAGCAGAATTGGCTGCTGTTACTTATGGTTCACTTTGGTTTTTCGTAAAATTCAGTGAAAACCTCAGTATTCAGCAGAGTTTTTCTTAAAAAGAGAACAAACCTCCCATGTCTCCCCAACGGTTTGTGCATTTGCATGTGACCTTTGTTTCTCAGAGGAGCCACAAGATGTTGAAGCTGAGCTGGTAGACAGCCCAGGAGTTGCCAAGCTAGGTGTGGCCTTGGCTGCCCAGTTCTGACTCCTTGCATTGTTTTCTTGACTGGTTGCCAGACTGCTCTTCCAAATTGCCTCATTAGTTAATTTCAAGGAATGGACATGCTCTGAAGTGTCTAACATTACTGAGGCCTCTAGACATTAATTGGTCTAAATGCTGTGCCTATTCACTGACCTTAAAGGTTGTTGGATGACTTGGAGCTGCGTTTTGTTTTCTCCTTGAAGCCAGCTAGCAGCTAAGACCAGCTTTTATATGTAAAGGTGTGTGCTGTTTTGATGCAGGAGAAAGAGGTAGCYAGTCACAGAAATTGTGCTCATTAGCACATGTGAGACGTAAGATGTGTTGTGAMCCTGGTGTATATTTCAGCAAGGGAAATTTCACGGATTTCAGCAAGAGAAACAGAGCATCGTCCTTGTTTCAACTTTACTCAGCTGGAGTTTACAAAGGGCACATTAACATAAATCGAGTATGGCTTCTGGGAATGTCATCTTCTGGAGCTGGATACTCCAGTATTTGCTTTTTCTGTCACTTAATGTTATTTAAATCCTTCATATCTTGCCTTTAATATTTTTTTATGATGCCCCTTTTAAATTACAGCTGTAATTCGGCGATTGAGTATATGTGTGTGCATATAGAAAGTGTGTCAGTGAGTGGGATTTTCCTCTTGTGACTTTGTGGCACAAAATCCAGCTTGTTTCTGGAAAGCTGACACTCCACCTTTTCTTGTAGGAAAGCTAGTTGAACAGAGAAAGCATGCAGAGGCAGCCATTCTCCTGGAGCAGTACAGTCAGGTAATGTAATCACCCTCCTGCCTGTGTCCCAGTAAWGCCCTCTGTCAGACAGATACACCATCCATGTTTTCTCTGTTCTTCTCCACCATATGTGACACTATGCATGTTGACAGCTTGGGTAGAGCAGACCAGGTCCAGGTAAGGCAGTGAGCAGGGTGGGGATAAATGCTGTGTCCCTGAGTTTTTCCACTCATGAAAGCTGCACGTATGTATGCCCTTTGGTATGAAAAGTTTTTGTCTGAGCTGAAACATGAGGGCTGGAATAAGGAAGACAGACTTCCAGAGGGATCTCCCTTTAGTGTGGGAGAAGTAACATAGTTTTGCTGRGTTGGTTTGTTGTTTTTGTTTGCTTGTTTGTTTTTTTTTTATGACAACACTTCAAAGTATCTGTCATAGTAGTGTTTTCCTGTCTTGGCTGTGATACCTGCTGCATAGAAACACCCATYTGAATAGCTTCTACCTCAGCTGTTTTATTACTAGCAGCAGCAACAGCCCATGGTTGTKCTTTCCTTCTAGGACTATGAAGAGGCTGTTCTCCTGCTGTTAGAAGGGGCTCTTTGGGAAGAGGCTTTAAGACTGGTAAGACATTCCAAATCACAAGAACAGAAGTGGAAATACATTTTAGAGTTCAAAAATAAAGGGATGTGATGTGGGTTACTTCCTTAAATGATACCTTCTTTTCTTTCCCTGATCCAGATTCACAAGTATGATAGACTGGATATCTTGGARACCAACTTGAAACCTGCTATTTTGGAAGGTGAATCTGGCAAGAACCTAAAAGTTCTTTGTGTTGTAGAGACTAAAGAAGATCATTACTTGTGGGTCTGTGGGAAGTCASAGCATTCCAGCATTGCAAGGTGTATGGAAGGATATATTGCTTCCATTTGATTGATGCTCCTCAATTAGCAGCATTTGCCTCTCTCCAATGCATTTTGAAGCCCYGCAGTGCAGATCATGGGATATTTTTAGCTTAGTCAGGCTCTTTTGGAGCTTTTCCAGACCTGACAGTGAAAAGCTGCAAAGGGATCTGTGTCTGCATGTCCACAAACAAGCAGGACAGTCCTTGTTCCAGAGCATATGTAGCAGCAGAGCTATGGAYGAGGAAAGTGGCTAATTGTCCTGTAAGTTTTGATGAGCAGATTTTGGAAATAAAAAATATTTGATAGCTATAGGCTCCCTTCCACAAAGGAAGGATGTCTTGTTACTATTCCTTGTTCTTCTTTTCATGCTTTATGAGTTGAGATATTTTTTTTCTGTAATTTAAATATGATTAATGGACAGAGATTTAGCCATAGAACTTTCTGTTCTTCCTCTATCAAAAACAAGGCTCTTGTTCTAGAAAACATTTGTCTGGCAAATTAATCCACTCCACATCCAGGTGTATCTTGCTTGGTGTGCTCCCGTATTAGAGGCTTTGAATTTCCTTCCACTTGAGGCCTTTTGTGTTCTTTGCACCTGACTTCTAAGCTGACTTGTTGAAGGACTGTGTAAAAAATGCTTTTCTGTTTCTCTTGCACAAATGTTTATSTTCTGATTTTCTTAATGAGCAGCTCAGAAAAGTCAGCTGATCTTCCTAGATTCCCAGAAAACAGCATTTCTTCGCCATAAGAGTCGCCTGCAAGTGGTCCGACAGCTGAAGGAGAAGGCCTGTGAGAACCTGCAGGGTTGGTAGTTGGTATTGAAATGTATATGACTTTCTCTGCTTGAGTAACTGTAATTGTAGTTTTGTTTGTGGTTTCTGTTTGTTCTGATGGAGCTGTGCTCTTCTCTAGCTCCATGGGATCTACAACAGGAAAATAGTACTCTTCTCAATTCCTCCTCTCTCCCTGCTTGGAGTGTGATTGTTTTACCCTSCTTATTCTGTATTTTCAGTTTTACATTGGGTCACGGCTTTCATGCAATGAAATTGCACCAGAAAGCTCTTCAAAATTTCTCAGCATTGTCTCTACAGTACTTCTTCGCTGGGTGAGACAGTGTTCAGCATGTGCTTTGTGCCAAGTGAACATATACCTGTAGGCATATTCACCTGCCAGCTCACACAGGCTCAGGRAATTTTTCAGAAAGCAGAGTGCTGCATCCCAGTCCAGATCTGCTCTCTGAGATTGTCATCCCTCTRATGTGCCGTTCAATATCATGGTCCCCACCAGGGCAGAGGAGCAGTGTGTTCTCACAATTACTGTTTCCTCTTGTGTGCTGGCTGAATGGGATTGGGAGTCATAAACACCAGCAGGTAAAATTAATCTGCCCAGCAAGCTACAACCAGAGAGAAAGCTTGAAATAACTCAGACTTCTTTTCCATACTGTGATAATTGTTACCATGTTTTGCAGATTATGAAGTGCCACATTGCCCAGAATTGGAGCTTTTGTCTGAAACCAGCAGTGTTGTGACAGCTAGTGACATGAACAGCAAATACTCACACAGCAATTCAAGAATATCAGCGTAGGTATCTGCCTTCAAATCAGGTAGTGACTGTTCTGGCATCAGCATTCAGGAGGTCAGCTTGCTCATGTTTGGCATGCTCCTCTTTGCAGCTCTGTGTGCCTTGAAGCTGCTTTAATTACAGGCATTTCATGGTTATTTTAACTCTCTTTGGGAGGGAAAGAGCACAAAATGCCAGAAGCTACTGGTACAACAGGAACTGAGTGCCCAGCACAGGAGCTGTGAACACAGTCTCTGGGCAGGTTCTGGCTCTGTGGGTKTTGGGCATGTGGCCAGAAAGCTAGACATAGGATACAGGCAGAGCCTCCCAAACATGAAGAGTTTGTGCGCATGTCTTATGTTCTTTGGCCCAGGTTTCGCACTTGGTGTGTGGGGGTTGCTACTGAATCTCATACCAATGTCTTCCCACAGTAATGGTTGCCTGCATTGTTTTTTAGTGCTCTCAAGAATATAAGCTGCAGGGTGGGGTGTGTATCAGGGTGGTGTAGTCTGTGGGASCACTTCTGAATTCCCTGGCTGAACTGTGGAAGAATACAGTTGTGGGAAAAGTGTGGACTTTTTAGGGCACTTTTTTTTTTGGTGGACCAGATGTAACCAGAAAGAGAATGCAGCCTTGGTCTTTAGTGTCAGAGTGTGCTGATCATTTGGGAACGTTATGCTGCTAGGTCTGGTATATGAATGAAGTTGYTTTGTGATCATGGGCAGGAGCTGAGCAGGCTCTGGAGATGTCAGAAATTAAAATTTTCACAGGCAAGCACAGACCGTGGCCACCAATGTTTTAAGCRGGCCTAAGCTTTGCCTGGTAGTGGCGGTTGCTTTTTTGCACAAAGCTCCAGCTTTGTGCTTGTAGACATGCTTTAACYTTGCTGGAACATGGAATGGAGAAACAGCCATGTTTTTTGGAGTAGAGAAACAGCCTGACTCCTGTCTTGTGTTTCAGACCACAAAGGATATTGGTTAAGGAGTGCTGAAAACATTGTCACACTGCCTAAGTTTATATACAGACCTCTGTCACTGGAGGGAGCAAGGAGTTGAGTGACAAGTTTCATGYACATTGTTGAAGTTCCTTCAGACTTACTCTACTAACAGCTGATCATTTTGTGCATGCTGTAATTGAATATGGTCCTTTTCAGGCGATCCTCAAAGAATCGACGCAAGGCAGAGCGTAAGAAATACAGCCTGAAGGAAGGGAGTCCTTTTGAGGATATTGCCCTTCTGGAGGTCCTGGGAGAGWGTGTTCGTGCTGTTGAGACTGTGAAAGGTAGGAGTGGTGGTCCTAGCTGGTGGTCTTAATCCAGGCAGCAGCTTATGAGGATGAGGACAGCTAATGCTTCATCTTGTTCTTACTGTGTGTACTGGGGAGAAAAGCTGCCTGGTCCATACAGCCATCTGTGTTGGACTTGGTTTAGTTCATCTCCCTCTCTACTCGAAATAATGTGTGAGGTCTCTGCATTTGAATTTTGGGAGCAAAGAGGCCTTCTCAGTGCCACTACAGATTTGTCTTGTTTTTGGTCTTGGACACTGCATGGGCTCAGTAGGAGCAGAACCAGTTCTGAGTTGCTGCCCTCCTTCCTATGTGCTCATAGCAAAGAAATGCAGTTGTTTATTTAATATACATCTGTTAATTGCTATTTATTGCTTGTGTTTCTGTTCTGTCCTGTAGGAGATATACACATCCTTCTGAAGCAGCTTGTGCTCTTTGGTTATGATRAGCAAGCTGGGGCACTGCAGCAAGTCCTGGAAGAGGTTTTGCAGTTGATGGAGACATCAGTCTCAGAAATCTGGACTCCAGACCTGCAGCAGAGCTCTGTCAGCCCGGTCTGTGCTCATCTRCAGTACCTTTCACACTCACGAGACAGTATCAAATGTTTAGCAGTATTTTGCATTTTCCAGCAGAGATTCCYGAATCCTTCCCTGGCTTTCAAATCTGGGKTTTTTTTCTGTTAGAGGTTCAGTAGACATTCCATGCAGGAACAGCTGAGTCAGTAGACTCCATATGTATACGTGTGTAGCCTACTCTGTTGCTTATACTGAATGCCACATTGGACGTGATGAAGTTTCCTGAGGCTTCTGTTGCTTTATCCTAGTGATGACTTCTTTCTGTAAGCTCCATCTTAAGCAATTTTTAGAATATGGGAGGGAACACAYGCTTTTTTTCTCGGATTAATGGCAGAAGTGTACTAGAGTGGTTGTTATCCAACCTGGTCTTGTGAAGTGAAAACCTACTAGACTGGTCAATTTGGTCTGAACCATATATCATAAGGAGTATATTACAAAAAGAAGGGTTATTGCAGGCTTCTAAGCTTCAACTTAATGCAGAACAAGGAAATCACAAAGASTTTAGTTCCCTTCCAGAGTAAAAAAAGTTTATTTCTAATAAGTGGTTTCTGAGCATTTATGGTGAACATAAGATGTTCCTCAGTATCTTCTCCCTAAATGCTGATTAGCMGGACACTTAAAGACAGATTAAAATTGTTCTGTGTGACAGGGAACTTTAAATGTTGATGGTGCTGTAATAAATTAGTCCTGCCAAATCATGACATTTACAGTGCTGTAAARAAGTAGGTGCTGGGATAAGAGTTCTGTGTCCGAGAAGCTGTGTGAAAGCAGTTTTCTGTTTCTGCCTCTGTGTTAACTTTTTGAGCCATTACTGGGCTTTTATCCCACATTCCTGTTCATTTTGTACTGTGAGGTTTACTCTTCTGTTTTTGGACAATAGCAGCAGTGTTTCCTTTGAGAGCATCCCTGCTTGTGCTCTGCTTTGTTCAGGTTGGAACATGGTTGTTGCTTCTTACAGGTGCTGGGACCCAATTCAACTGCAAACAGCATTATGGCTGCCTATCAGCAGAAGAGGATGATGCCTCCGGTTGTACAAGGTTAGTTGAGGCTCTGGGCTTGGTTTGTGTGTGAAATGTCAGTGGGGTTAGTGGGCTTCAACATTCTCCAAGCACTGCTACCTGCCAATATTTGTACCAGCTGCTCAGCTGTGGTGGTTCATTGCTTTATTTTGTGGCGTACCATCCTGCCTTGTGATAAGTGAGCAGCTTTCTCTGAATTTTGCTCTGAATTCGTGTGCTGAAATTCTCAGTTGATCTTCTGGCTTCCTGTGTATGTGAGGGAATTGAAAATCTGATTTCTTAAGGAACATGTTAGATAATTTTTCATTTAACTAACCTGCTGAATTTTTCTATCTGGCTTTGCCTGTCAGGCCAGATTCTTGACCAGGCCAGGCTACAGTGTGTCAAAATCCTTGTAGTGAATAAAAACTTAGGGCTGAGAGACCTAGCAAGGGTGATCCCAAATCCCTAGTCTTTCCTCTTCCCACTAGTCTATTCCCTTTCCCTGCTGGTTCTGAATTGCCTGGGGAGGTCCTCTGTTGAATCTCTAGATGYCACCTGCCTATTGCCAGTTGCCAGGGCTGACTTCAGAAAAAGACCTCGTACCACAGCCAGCTGTGGTCCATGATGGGCCAGTGACAGGTGAATGAATGGAGTTCTGCTTTGTGCCACTCATAGCTGTGGCTTTGTGCGTGTTCCTCCTTGTTCTGAACAGTAACACTTAACGATTGAGAGGGAACTTGGTGTACCCAGTGGTCTCCTCTTGTAAGCAGGTCTGAGGACACTCTTCTGTGGAGACTGATGATCAGCCACTAGAGGGAAATTATAGGTGTCAAGAGGTTTCTCAGCATCCTTTGATGTAAAGTGAACTAAGTAGTTGGGAGCCCTTGAAGAAACTATACTGCTGTTACATCTTGTTCTGACACTTGTTCCATTTGCCTTTCAGATCCAGAAGTACTTACTCCACCAAAATTCAATAAAAATCTACAGTGGAAACTGCATCTTCTTCAGTAACTCAAAGCCAAGGAAACCCTGTGGACTCCAATAACTTTCCATACAATTTCATTATATCTTTACAGAAGCTATTGTTGTTCTGGTGTTTCTGATACATTGTTCTTAGGCCTGTGCAAGTGAAGGGTCCTGATGCAGGCCTGATGCAGCTGTGACTGCGACCCATAGGGTGTCACACTTGTGGGCACAGCCACTCATGTCCCACTGCAGATGTGGCTTGTGTGACTGGGGAGTGAAACGATATGCAGCTCTGAAAGCTCCTGGATGGATCCAGTGTCTACCACTTTTTCCCCCTTCAGGATGAAGCAATCCCAACCAGTACTGGATGGGCTATCTTCTCTGCCATTCCTCCTTCCCAGAGCTGATACTTGCCACGATGACAGGCCATGTTTTAAGCACTTCAGCCTGCTTTAGAGAACTTAGCTGTAAGACTGTACCAATGGCAAATTGCTGTAGTTGCCAAACAAATTTTGTGTTTTCKCTCCTGAAGCTGGATGTTGCTAGTACCAGGTTATCATCAGTATTGCTTTGTTACATCAGAGTGAATCCTGCAGTGCAAACAGCCACTGCTGTCCTGAAACTGGGCACATGCACACCAGGGAGGTCTTGGACAGGGGAAAACGTGAATAAAAACAGGGCGGAAGCATTGGTGTCATACTCTGCGCTCTGCTACGTAATACTACCCTAATTATCCAAGTTCAGAGAATATGGATTAATGCGGCTCTGTGGCACTGACAGATCAGCAGCTGTACCCTGATAATGCTGTGCACTATTGCGGGACTGTCATCTGGAAACGTGTCTCATACTGAGAATCGGGTTTTAACCCAGAATACTTGTGCAATCTGATGCAAGAAGTAACAGCAGCAGTTCAGGGAGTAGAGGAAGGGGACAAGGCTGGAAACCCTTTCTGTGGTAGCATCCCCTCTCAGTTAATTTTGGCCCGGCCGCTTCAGTGTTCAGTGCAGACCATTTCCGTTGGAGCTGCAGAAGAATGCCACATAAACAAGGCATTTCCTGTCTGTTGGAGGTATGTAATGGCACAGCAGTGAGCTGTGTTCTGACGGCACAGCATGAGCATGTCCAGTGCTGCAAATCACTATTTTTGTGTGGCAGGAATTCCATTAGATCAGGGTGGCCATTTGGTCTTGCACCATAAATGACATGCTGGCTTGAGCCTGCTGGAGTGGAGTGGTACAACAGTCCTTTGCCAGTGTGAAGCAATGGAGTACATCTCGTTTCCAGCTGCTCTGAGTTACCTATTTCCAGCTGTTCTGGTGGCCTGTTCTGGGTGGAGTGGGGAAGGTTTAAGACTGTTTTCAAGTACTGTGACAACACAGTAGGATTCTCCAAGAGTAAATAAAGCCTTTTGAGACAGCAAAACACATGAAAGGCTTTACAGGGTAAGTGTTGCACAGGATCTGGGTCTTCAAAATGGTAGCAGAGCACAGTCCTTGGTGAAATACAGAAGCCATCTAACAGATCTGGAGTAAGGGTTGATGAGGGAGACTGTGCTTCTCTACACAGCACTCTGGCCCTRCAACTGAAATTTGACACTGACACCAGTAATTCCTGACATTCCAAAATCTGATGCCAGGAAAGGCTGAGGTCATGTACAACCTAACCTGTTTTCTAGAAGGAGAACACAAGAAGAGGTAAAATTGCTGCTGGCTTACCGAGGATTCATGCTTGTGCGTAAGAATGTGTGTGGGTTCTTTTGTTTTTCCATCATGATGATGGTGAAAGCCAAGGACCCTTTTGTCGTAGGCATGTGTGCTTTTTCTCCRAGACAAAACCCTTTTAAATCTGACATCCAAGTGAAAGACCAGTCTTCTAAATCATCACTCAACCCTGCCCAAGTGAACTTTGAGTAAGGAACAGTAGAGCTGGGAGCAGCACCTAGTATCCATGAGCCTCCAGCGGGGATACCCTACTTCCTACTTGTGCAGTTGCTGAGCCTTAGTTTCTTCTCAGCAGCAGCTGGGAGTAGAAGTCTGCTTTCCCTTGATTTCTCCTGGCATATTCTTTTACTTTCTTAGTAATGCATGTAATCTTGAAATACATTCAGCTTTAGTTACTGTCTTTACAGACATTTTGAATTTGTTCTTACGAGTTCTGTAAGGCTCCTACAAACATATGGTATTACCAGGAGTGGAAGTAAGCCATTAATGCAGAAATATGGAGTTAACTTTAGAAACATCTCAACTTCTGAGCAACTGTGGCTGTATGGAAGCCTGGTTCTTTTACTAGTGTAGATATTTTTCACCTCTCTGCTGATCAGCTTCATTAAAGACAAAAGGAAAAAAAAACCTGTCAAGTTCAGTAAGAACTTCCATGAAAAGATTGACAAATGGTGTGGTTTATTGGAGAAACAGATTATAGGTTGTTAGATTGCCAGTGATAAACCTGTAGGCAGCTGTCCCTTTTTGGCTTCGAACAGCTTGTGCCCAGTGCTGCTCCTCCTGCAGATCTTTCCATACAGCAGTGACCTCACACAGCAAATGCTGGACATGCTSCCATCTCCTTCCCCGGGATCAGCCCTGGTGGCAAGTGATTCTCCCAAAGATTCCACTGATGTACAACATCATGCAGAGGCTTGTATCTCAGAATCATGCTCCACAACTGAGACTTGGACAGCTGCATAACCTTCCCATATAAATGGATTGCAGAGGTTTGTGCTTGACTCTGACCTGCTTTGAACGGTWCTAAAACCATGACTCCACCTAAATGTGATGGGCCATGGGACATAAGCAGTGCTTATGCTTTGCATGCGTCACTGTCAAGAAGCATGGCTTTCCTTTCTGCCCTGTGTCTGCCATGAGGAAGACCATGGCTCTCCAGCATTCACAACTGGGCTTGGTCCATATTGGTTCCTGTTGTGAAGCATTAGCACAGCTTTACTCTGGAGACAATTGGAGCCCTAGTTTGTGTCAAGAATTAATCCACGGACTGGCTGTGCTTTTGCCATTGTTCCTTACTCTCTAAGCTTTGCTTTGYAATTGAGGGCATATTATTACTAATGTCAGCAACAGTTAAGTGTGACCATGCTTTAAATGAGACCACAGTCAACCCGTCACCCTCAGTGTATCCCATTCTGGTGAAAGATGAATGGTTTAAGAAAAATTTTTGCAGAATGTCCTAAGAGAACAATACTTAAAGACCCATAAAAGTGGGAAATGGCAAGGTCTTGCAGAATAGTTTTGAAACAAGTAGAGAACACAACTGCATTTGGCAACATTCCATGTTTTATTGAAATTAGTTAAAGAAAAATGCATCTTTTAGATGAACTTAGCTCATTATAATGTAAAAAACACATRTCTAAAACTTAGATTACCCACTTCCAAATGAAGACTCCTATCCACTGAATATGCACAATAAATTCAAAATGGATTATATCTTTAAACTGAGGCAGGTAAAAGATTGTCCAACAGCTGTGGAGTAGCCAGGTATTTAGATACTAGATAAGTGCAGACTTAGATATTTTGAAATATAAATACATCGCTGCGCTACAACTGCCTCTATGCATTCACCAGCCAGCACCCATCTCTGCACAAGTATAAATAAATATGACACTTTTTGTGGATCAGCTTCTTGTACACCAGGGGAAAGAACACGTTTTGAGGACAATTTTATTACCAAAACATCTTTATTCTTTTCCAACAACGTCAGCTTGTTTTTTGCCCCACTGGTGTGTGTATTGCAACACACTGCTTCATAGGGGAATGGAACAAGACGATACCCTCTCCCCACAGAATGTGTTATTAAGAGTTAGGAGTARCATTTTGCTTGTGTAGCAAAAGCTCTGTGAAACTCTTACTGAAAGCCATTTCACTCGGTGAGCATCTTACTTAACAGGTCAAAGCTGGGCTCAGGATGAAGTTCAACTATACAAACCAGTTCTGGACTCAGAAAGAGATTTTTATTACTACTGCTGTGCTGCCTCTGCAAGTTCACATCTTGACAACAATCAAGTGATTAGAGGCTCACTAAAATCCTGATGTGGAGAAACAGGGCAGGATTAAACCACACAATGGCACCCTGGTAAGGGGCAAATCCCACTTCACAGCTGAGGGGAAGTTCAGCAGCACTTTCACTGTCAGGTGTTTCAGTGGTCCAGCAAAGTGGGATGATCAGCTGCTGCTCCTTCCACTACACTGACAGTACAATCAGCCACGCCAGTGCCTCAACATTAACACAAGAAACCTCAGTGGCAGGCAGAAAACGTCAAGAGAAAGACCTCTAAATCATTGTTTCTCTCCTTTCTCAGTAGCAACCTAGATCTGGATTCAGTTCAGTTTCTGAATTAAAATAAATCCTTTCATCCAAACAAAGCACTTCTTCCAGACTTCAGTTTACTTACAGACTAGTGTGGCTGTACCACAACAAAGCTGCAAACAAAAAGCTTAAATTTCAGAAGTCACTTTATTTATATTTTTAGGGAGGAGGGATGGGAGAGTTTGGATTTTTGTCTGAGCTRTTACTGAACCAATATGGTGCTGTTTTCAGACTACTTTTCTCCACACTACATTTGTCATTCCAGTTAATGAACATATATTTCCATTAACATTTTGCAGTCTTTGTGTTGGCTGGAAATCTGAAGACAGACTGRAAGATGATTTTTTTGCAAAATCACTTTGGCCAATGTTTCCTGAGATGTTCCTTTAACTGTGGGATTGTGGACAGCTGTTGTTTACAACAATGGCATTTGAGGGGAAGTTTGAGAAGTTCAGMGGTATGGTCTTTCACCATCACCTTTCCTTTGCTTCTTACCATCTCTATCACATCTGGAGATAAAAATACATAGTGAGGCAATGTAGCATAAAGAAACACATGACATTGCAAATCTCTGTGCACTGCTTCACATGCACAGTGCGTCATTGTTGCATTCTAATTTARACCAGCGACAACATTTGTTGACTTTTTACTCAGTGCTACTCCCCAATATCTAATATTAATTAAAACCTTTCACTTACTGCAACAAAATATATGACTTACACCTTTGTTTGGAAGAAAAGCCCAAAGCCAGAACCTGCAAGCAGCATTATTTGTTATGAAACACYTTTCTAATCATTACCTTGAGAGTTTAAGAAGTAGTCTGTAGTAAAAGAGTTCCAGTGTTTTTTGGTTTTCAGGGCCGGAGAATCAAAATCCTGGCTGATAACATGCAAATGTAGCTGACTGAAAAAGAAATACAATGTAGAYATGAAAGAAGGTTAATGCTTGAAGTTGTTTTGCAGTTGTATCAGCTGCAAACATGATTCAGCAGAATGCAAGCCTTGTGGGTCAGTCTTAACCCTGTGACRGAAAAACAGTGTGTTCTGGAAGCATTGTCTCTTGCCAAGAATTTCAATTAAACAGTCAAGGTCACTACTTTGCCATTGGCTCCTCACTACAGTCTATATTCCTGCTAGCTTCCAAAAGGGCAGACACAGTAGTGTTAGCAAACCAAAGATTTATTAACAGTTTAATAATAAACCAAAGGTTTATTAACRGTTTAATAATAAACCAACGTTTTATTATTTGTAGAGTAATTGAATGGGACTTGATCAGTTCCCAAAAGCTGCACTTGAGAACTGGAGAGCAACTGACTGCAGTATCTACAGGCATTTGGACACTCTAAGAGATGGACTTACACACAAGACTCACATCCTTGACAGGTCTAGGAGTCAGTCTCTAATCTCAACTGGTGCCCTGGGAGTAGATGCCCCAGGACTCGGCACTGGCAGCACTGCCCCTCTGAGTGGGGCAGGACCACAGACATCCCACAGCCCCAGAAACCAACCTCTGCTAGGGCAGCCCAACAGGCATTTCCCACCAGGCCCAGGATGCCTGTGCAGTCCGAGATCTGTGCAGCCATGTGGGGCAAAGGATGGCACACCAAGCTGTCTGTAGTGTTGAGGAGCATTGCCTGTTCCTTAGCAATGCCAGATCTCCTCACAGATTTAGCCCCAAATCTGTGTAACTGGAACAACAGTGTCTCCACTAGATGACTMCTCTAAGTCTTACCTCATACTGGGGATAGCATGGTAACCCAGTCTGAACTCCAGGCTCTCTCYGGCAGGGCACTGTTCAATCATTTTTTGCCCAACTGCATGCATATGTTCCAGGAGTTCAAGGTGGTCCCTGGTGACTGACTTGAGGCTTGAAATTGGGTCCCATGGTAAGACAAGCCAGTGGTAACGTGCTTTAGGATACTTATCCTTGATGACAACAGTTTTTTCATCTTTGTAAACCTTGCAAAAAAACCCCAAACAAGATTACTTTCTGATTGAAAGTTAAATATATTATTCCTATGAACAYTATAATTAATGGAGAGATGCTAACCATGGAGAACTTTTGCTGGAACTAAGTTGCTGCAGGATAAGCCCCCTCTTCCATAACATAYACCAGGTCACTATGGAGAGATTGTCCTTGTTCACATACTTTATAAAAGAAAAAAACTTTCTATTCTTGCATTACAGTAAGGTAACCAAAGCTACAGGTGGATATGAACTCCTGAAGATCACCTGGAGTGAGATATCAATGACGTCTATGGAACTCTCTACTTCCATCAGGCTACATTCAAGCTTTGTAGTCAAACAAAATCACTGTGCTCAATACAGAGCATGTAGGAATACGCTGCACTGCCACATCCGTCACAGACTTCTGGAGAGAAGCACAAATCTCAGACGTGCTACCGAGCAGTGTGCTGCACCCCTTCACCAGCATTACACAAAAAAATTCAAGTCTGAACTATTTCAGTTCACCCAATCCCCATGTGCTGCTTTGTAAGATCACTCACAAGAAGGAGAACAGATTTCTATCATGCCCTCCTTCATGTTTTTTTTTTTCCTTCTGAACAATTCAATGCAGCTGAGGAAGAGAAATGGCTGGGAAGCTTGTGGACAACAGTGGGGACAACCTGCCCCAGCAATAAAAAGCTGTCAAGTTCTGACGCAGAAACTGCATGTTTCTGGTCTCTTAGCAGTGCATCTGCTGATGTGAGATGGATGATGTCTTTGTCACGTTTGCTAACTATTCTCATACATTTATATATAGAGCTGATCGGCCCTACAGAAAGGAAAATGAAATTCTAACTGTACACAATCACACAGGACTGATTCTTTCAGCAGCAAGAATTTTATATACATGTATTAGTGTCTGCTCCACATTAGTAACCAGTAGGAATGGGATCATTTTCAAGTCTTTTCAGAAGAAAGAAATGCTGACATTTATTTATTTATTATTTGATTATTAAAAAAAAAAGATAGGCGTTCTATTTGTGTGCTTGTGTGTTCAGTCAAACTTGCAATAAGGCTAACCTTCAGCCACAGTTACTTTTTTTAACTGTTCTAACATTCAAAGAACAGTTTTAAAACCTGCTTAAATTTTGGGTCAAGAAAGCCCTGTTTTAGCAAGTATTATATGAAATTCTGCTTCAGGAATGAAAATTAAGCTTCATGATAAAAAAGTAAGCAAGAATTTCCATAGTTTTATCATCCCCTATAGATCTACTCATTTGAAAGTGCTGGAATTCTAGGAMAATGGGCATCCAGTTCTCCTATAAATCTATGAAGTTAAACACTTCAGACTTGAATTTAAAAAAAAAAATCAATCAAGAAACAGGAACCTTCTGTTGTTATCAGCTAACTGAAAAACTGTCTTATGGGCTGGGCACAAAATGTTATAGTGAATGGCGTGACATCATCCTTGGCCCAGTGCTCTTCAATGTCTTAATAAACAACCCAGACACAGGAACTGGAAGGAATGGAAAACAAGTTYGCTAATGACACTAAATTGGGAGGAACTGTCAACTCCCTTRAAGGCAGGGAGGCCMTRCAGAGAGACCTGGGCAAGCTAGAGGGCTGGGTGGAAGTTTAAGAAGGCGAAGTGCTGGATTCTGCACCTGGGGCAGGACAACCCTGGACACAGAGACTGGGGAGAGACTGGAGAGCAGCTCCATGGCAAATGGGGGTCCTGGTCTGTGGCAAGTTGAACATGAGCCAGCAGTGCCCTGRCAGCCAGGAGGGCCACCYGTGTCCTGGGGGGCATCAGGCACAGCATCACCAGCCGGGCAAGGGAAGGGATTGTCCCGCTCTGTTCTGACCTGGGAGAGCCTCAGCTCCAGTGCTGGGGGCAGTTTTGCTGGGGGCAGTTTTGGGTGCCATAATAGAAGATAAAAAGCTCTTAGAGAGTGTCCAAAGGAGGGCGATGAAGATGCTGAAGGGCCTTGAGGTGAAGCCSTGTGAGGAGGGGCTGAGCTCACTTGGTCTCTTCAGACTGGAGGAGAYTGAGGGGAGAACTCACTGCAGTTTAAAGTCCCTCATGAGGGGAAGAGCAGTGACAGGCACTGATCTCTTCACTCTGGTGATCAGTGACAGAACTTGAGGAAATGGCCTGAAGGTGAGTCAGAGGAGGTTTAGGTTGGATATCAGGAAAAGGCTCTTCACCCAGAGGGTGGTTGGGCACTGGAACAGGCTCCCCAGGGCAGTGGTCACAGCACTAAGCCTGACAGAGTTCGAGTGTTTGGACAATACTCTCAGGCACATGGAGTTACTCTTGGGGATGTCCTGTGCAGGGCTGAGTTGTTTTCAATGATCCTGATGGGTCCCTTCCAACTCAACATCCTCTATGATTTAATGATTCTAAATTATTTTCAGCCTGATGGTGATCATCACCTGAAGGGGCCCAGTGAGGTGAGAGGTCAGATCCTGTCAACTGGCACAAAGGTGTGACAATCAAAAGTCTGCTCAAAACAGGAAACTGTACTAAGAAATATGGCAGTGCTGACTACTGGAAGATGAGAACCTCTGTGACTTGCCCAGCTTCAAATGACCACCCCATTTTAGCTGGTTTCCCTGAGAAACAAGGCAATTGCACAACTTGCCTGCTCTCCCATCAACGTTTTTGAAATACATTGGCCAAATCTCATAGCATAGAGGCTCAAAGATAATTAAGATAATTACATTCTGCAAAATCAGTAGAGACTGCCAGGTTAATCTTACTACAGAGAGAAATGCAAGTACATTTCAGCCCAATGCAGGACTCCACTGATTACCCAGATTATTAAAGCATATTGTAGAATGAAGAAAGAAAGCTCATTTAGCTTTGCTAGACAGAATCTACTGTAGATTACAAGTATACAGCTCTCACCTGCATTTTTGGATCTTGCATGGAGCTCTTTAGACCCTGACTCCAGTGTCCTAAACTTTCCTATTGTATAGAACAGGAACAATAAATTATAAGACAATTAAGCATCCAATTACATATTTCAAAGGATTCAGTTAAGAATATTCATTAGTATAAAACAGTACAATAACAGCTGAGTGACAGCTGAATTATTTACCTTCTACAAAACGCCAACACACCTGCTCTAACTGCCCCCAAAATTTTACTTTTGAAAAATTGTAACAAGATACTGTGAAGATGAAAAGTTTGATCTTCCAAATGTTAGAAATTTAACAACAGCGAGCTATAAATGTGTTTAAATTTAGTAATTTGCCTGCACATGTCATGACAGAAGGCCCTCTGTTTCAGGGATCACAAGGGCCAAAGAAAGAACAAAGATGTTCACAAACTCTCCTATCCCATACTGCTCCGCAGACCAAAGCAGTTGCGGTGTGTGGCCTTTTTCTTAGATGAACTGGGTTTTTRTATATTGTGCAGTGGCTTGTAGAGAAGCAAAAAAGGCACAGGAAAATCAAGCCAATATTAGCCCATAATCCTAAACTTGGTTACTGAACACCTAATAGAAAGCCTAGAGTGCACCTTTTTCAACACAGACGTTTTATCTGTTCAGGTTACTTCACAAGCACTATCGCATTCTCATAGAGGAAGCTGTTCAAATATTATTATAGTGCTGTCAGGGAAAGAGTGGGAATCATCATCTCTCTGCTCATTCCACCACAAATCTGGCCCTAATATAACTAGCCCAAGTCCAAAAATGAAGTGGTTAACTCACAGCTACATGAGACTAAAATTTTGTCTTGAGTGGTTCAATTTCTGTGCCTTTTCCTCCAGCACTGCACTAGTTCTAAATGCATTAGGCAGTCTTTTATTTCATTCATGTCACAGAGCTAAAACCTCCCTTTCAAAGATTTTGGCTGGTATCATTCATTAATGTAAACATGGTTCTATCATATGGAATGAACAAAGCAGGAGGAGGATAAGCCCCATGCAGTTACAAACAAACAAACTGGAAAAAAAAAAAAAAGGCTCAAGTTGTTCCATTCTCTGTGTTTGCTTTTAGATAACAACTCAAGAGCCAGGACAGTATCCCTGGATGACTCCAGCTAAACTGAGCTCATGTAGACTTGTCCTTTTTGCTACAAGGAATCCTCGTTTGCTACAAGGAAGCCTTTTCACACACACCTAACCTTCAGGTCTGGTTAGAAAGGGTCCCAATTGAATTTCTCAGGGTCTGGGTGATATCAGGAGCACAGAACACTTCTCATGTTCTGTGTATTTTGAGGATCTGTGTACACCTRAGATGCCCTCCACTGACAGAATCCACAAAAGTAAAAGACTGTGTCTCCCTATGGAGGAGACAATCCCAGGAGAAGAAGCACAAGTATTAATATCAACATACTTGCCTTTTTGCTCGAAGTTTCTTCATGTGCAGATACACTGGTATTGCCTAGCCTGGGATTTGTAGAACTGCCTTCTGTATCCATCATCTCCAACTTCATTGTTTTTCTGGGCACAAGCTCTATATCATCATTCTCACAGGAGTCCTCATATGGCATCTTGTCTGCTTTTGGAATAGTTTTCCCTGACTCTTCAGTAAATTGAATGGTGTAGGGGTAAAGGTTATTCACAATATGCAGAACTTGGCCTGGCTTCATTTTCACTGCTTCATCCTTGCCAATATTCATAAGATCAACACTAGTTGGGTTGACCCCTATCTTTGGTAGACAGAAAAAGGAAAAACTAGTAGAAAATGACATTGTGAGTGGAATCACCAACTTCTGCTCCTTTCTCCTGGAACACCACTATCCTGGAAAGCAAATGCATTTTGTATTCACTGCCCACCCTGCCCACATCAACCTGCTCAGGCAGTTCAGCACTGTGGACACCGCTCTGTGTCCCAGGCTCGCAGTCACAGCTGTCAGCACACAACCTCAGGGCATGGTGTCACAGGGAGACCAGGTCTGCAGCAGCTACAGAGTTACAGCATCACTCGAGCTGCACTCCCTCTCAAATTAGCAACCTGTCAAACAACTAGTAACAGTAGCAACTGTTTCTGGCCCATAATAGTTGCTTCAGTTAATTATTGCAGCACAATACAACTGTGTTGTAGGCCACCTACAATGATTGCTTSATACATGAATTTTGCTTCATCAAGAGAGTGACCTTAGGAAAATTACGAGTTTTCAGCAAAATGCTTTTTGTTAATGTTTATGCATGAAATAGGCTTTAGGAGACCAGCCCTCTCCTGTGACTGATAAACTCTGTCAGAGTGTTATCTTTGTCACTGTGATAGCTGCATGCTTCACAAGACGGTACTATACCTCTCACTTGGTATTCAYTGCAATGAAGCACACCCCTCATTCCAGCCAGGACCTCTTTAGTCTACAGTTCAGCAGTTTCACACAGGTCAAAGATGCTTCCCATCCCCTGGGTGAATGAAGTATCAAACAACTGTTCACTGGAACCTTGTGTCACACACCTCCCACCTGGGAGCTCTCCATAAGGCAGARAAAACATGCTAGCACCCACCCACCAGAAAGTATTCCCAGTTTTGAGAACCCAGTAACACAATGCCCAAATCATGACTAGGGCTGACTTCTGTAAAAATCTGTCCAAGGAATCTCTGCCAGCTTCATCAGATACCAGTGGGTTGCCTGTGCTTAGTGGGTTCTGGAGGCATTTTGAGAGAAGATGTTACCCCTCAGTAGGCAGAGCGTGTTGTGCTGTCCACACATGCTGATGCTGTGGGCACACACACACAGACACCAGCACAYACAATTTTCCCCTTCATACTATCACAGAATAGTATGGGTCACTGGGCCTCATAAGTATGAGAGAGTAGGCGGGCATCCATCCATTTGATAACATGARAATGCTTGCAGGGCTGTCTCACATCCCATCCCTTCCCACAAGTAACCACATCTTTGGCTCTGTCAGCTATCCAAACAAACTTTCTACAACTGCATGGTACCAATAACACAAGAGCTTCAGCCTTAAACAAAGGGCTGTCTCAGCTTACGAAGTTTAAGGTTCAGGAGAAAGATAAGCAAGTTTAGTAGAACAAGCCCAAAATCTCCTAAATGCAGCACCTGAAAGAACTGAATGAGGATTCAAAACAGCATTCCCTGATGCTGCAAGCCTGGCTGTGTTAGACTGGAGCTAATCATATCTGGAAAGAATAGTGCAGCCTTTCATTGAGGTGCACAAAGAAAAAAGTTAATTTCTGACAGCCTCTTGCTGTAATCCCCTTGCTGTTAGGAAAGCTTCAGGTCCTTCAGAGCCAGTCATCAGAATCATCAGTTGGAGCATTTGTGGAGTTAAGTACAACAGGCACCCRAAATGTGTGTACCTCCATACATAGAAACGTACCTGCTTAACTGTGACATACCCCTTGTTACAGTCTGCTTTTAACTGAACTGGAAAAGAAAGAACAAAGTGTCACAAAACGACTTTGCTGAACCACTCAGTGCAGAAAACACTCCTCTTTTTGAAGATCCAATTGTTTCTGAAGCTAATCTTTTTGAAYGCATGCCAAGAATACTTCTGCCTCATCTCGTCTTTCCGGGACCACAGGTAAAACAGAACTAACCCAYACACTGAGCCAAGGGTGGAATTACTTCAGAATAAAGGGGGATTCTTCTACATGTTCGTGATATTCTTACCAGTCCTCTGTGACAATAAAGCACAGAGCAAGACTGTGTCCAGAGGCGCAGAAGATAAGGCACAGACAAAGTGCAGTATTGCACAGATGACAGGTATTTTCAGATATTGTCCAAGATCACATTATTTTATGTATAAAACAACAAATTATGCTAAAAACCACTACTTGGTGGAGTACTAGGGAGAAGAAGTGCTGCTCACAAGCAAGAGTGCAGGCAGTGAAACACAACTGTGAACGTGGGAATTCACATTAAGGTTCAATGCTTTAGTTTAGAGAGGCGGACATCCTGTCATTGAGTGTCTGATTGTTTTAGTCCCAGAGATCTCTTTAAGTGCTTATAAAAAAAGCTTGATGGTTTCAAGAACCAGGCAACACTGCAGACCACACAGAGAAAGGAGGCCAGTTCAGCTGCTGCTACACACAGAAAGCAGGATTTGAGCTAAACCACCTTACCTTGCTGCCGTGAACACTTCTTATCCGTTATCCCAGTCTCTGGGCCACGCCCAATTACCACGGCTTCCAAGTGGGGCAGTTTCACTCGCTGAGTGCATTTCTCTTTGCCCACGAGCCAGCACACGCGCATCACTGTACTACAGAGCAAAATAAACAGTGTGTTACCAACACACCACTTCCTGATGGGCCACCTTCCTGGGAACWGGGTCCATGAACTCTGCTGCCAGTCCATCTATTAGCAAAGACAATTCGACTAACTGGGTGCATGTTTCTGAAATTCAAGGCAAAGCACATTCACTAGCACTYAAAAAAATCTAAGAGCAGGTTGCTGTTGAAAGGGCAACCTGCTGTTTTCCATCCTGCATTATCATACGTTCTCATATTTACAGACCATATATAGGAAAAATCAATTGGATTGGTAGTTCCATTGACAGAAAAGCCTACCCACAAAAGAGTGTGATTTGTCTCCCACTGAATCAGAGTTCGTCTAAAAAATTAACTTAACCACCAAAACAACAGAGCAGCCGAAGACAGAGAGGACGACAGAGTCGGGGGAGTTTCATTCAGCAACAGTAAGCACCGGAACGGTGCTATGAAACGCTCAAGTTTACACTAATTTGACCCTGGACAGCAAAGATCCCTCATCCTCACCGTGCCTGGCGCTCGGCGCTGCTCCTCCCAGCTCTGTGAGAGCTCAGGTGGTGAGCTCATGCCGGCGGAAAGCAAGGCACCTTCCGCAGTGTCCCCCGGCACTGTCACACACCCCGCACCCCTGTGGCAAATCCATTCCCGTGGGCCCCGTTCCCATGGCAACGCCGAGATGTCCCCCCCTCCCCCTTACCGCGCGCACCACGTTCGCGCCGTCGCCGGCGCAGCCAATCAGCTGCTCGGCCCTTCTCCCGCGTGACCAAGGCAGCGGCTCCCGCCGCGGCGCGTGACCGGGCGCACGCGCACTAGGCCCGGGCAGAGGGGGGGGTGGGTGCTGTGGCCTGGCACGGGCGCAGTGGAGTGGAGCGTGCCGGGTCGCCGGCCTGTGCGGTGGCGGGACCAGGTCCGCGCAGGGSGAGGGGGGAAAAGGCGCGGAGCGGCACCGGAAAGGCGGCGGCCGCGCCAGCGGTCCGTACCCGGAGTAGCTCCGTGCCTCAGGGGGCGGGGCCTGCCCGGCGCGCAGGCGCTTCCCGAGGTACACGCTGAGCAGAGCGGGAGCCACCGCCCGAGCGGGGCGGAGCGGGGCGGGGCCCGCGCCAAGTGTGGGAGGAGGAGGCGGGAGCTGATTGGCCAAGCGCCTTCCCCTCCCGAACAGCCATTGGCAGGCCGCTCTCCCGGGCCCGGCGCGCKGCGGGGCAGGACTTCCGGGGTGGGGCCGGCTGTAAAGCGGGCGRGCTGCGGGACCGGCCCGAACTTTCCAGAAGAGTCGGGAGCGGAGCCGCGGTAAGCGTAATCTGCGCTCTCCGCTCCGGGGGCCTCCTGCTGCCTCCATCATCATGGTGAAGGAGACCACCTACTACGATGTACTGGGCGTGAAGCCCAACGCGTCCGCCGAGGAGCTGAAGAAGGCCTACCGCAAGCTCGCGCTCAAGTACCACCCGGACAAGAACCCCAATGAGGGCGAGAAGGTCGGCGGGACCGGACGGGACGGGACGGGACGGGGCAGTGGGGACCGGGGGAGGAGGGCCGGGCGATAGTCCCGCCAGGGGTGCTGCTGCTGGTGCCTGAGTGCCGGTGTCTGTTCCTCCTGCAGTTCAAGCAGATCTCCCAAGCTTACGAAGTGCTGTCGGATCCGAAGAAGAGGGAGCTGTACGACAAAGGAGGCGAGCAGGCTATCAAGGAGGGCGGCTCCGGCGGCGGCTTTGGGTCACCCATGGACATATTCGATATGTTCTTCGGCGGCGGAGGGAGGATGCAGCGGGAGAGGCGAGGTAACGTGTCTGTGGGGGTAGACAGGATCAGATTCTCTGAGAAGAATGCCTTAGATGTAAGAATTTAAATAGAGCTAAAGTGAAGTTGTATGCTTAATCTCAAAATTGGAGAAAGCTATTGGCCCTTAACGCCTGAAACTACATGGGAGGGCGCTTGGGGTTGGTACGGTGGTAGTTTGGTCTCCTGTGCATTGTCCCCTGTTAATCACTAACCARGTGTTGTGTTTGGAGAGTCTTTAGCTGAGTGTAAACCCAGCTACTAGAGGGCAGAATAGGAAACGGAAGGGTAATGTAGCTTAAAATGATTCGTTAACTAAGCTACCATAAGTGTAGCTCTAAAAGCAACTAGCTAATCGAGAGATCAAGATCCAGTTCATGATATGAAACGTTTTTGTGTTCCTGCACTGTGCGGTGAAATTGAGTTGAAGCTGCAGTAAAACGTTGCCCAAAAATTAAGCTCCAGATTAATCACTCTGGGAAAAACTTTCAACTTGTTAAGAGCAGTGCTGACCCTATTTCCTCTTAGTGCACGTATGGTGAAAAAGGGAAGGAAAAATGTTTTGTATCCGTGTTATGAGTGTTGCATCAAAGTACTGTTAACAATCCAGAGCTTAGCATCCTTTGCAAAACTAAGGTTRYAGCAGCTAAAGTGCTAAGGAGTTCCTCAGTGTAAAAATCTAATTGCTCATGTCTGGTGTGTCAATCTCTGTTCTTTTACAGGCAAAAACGTGGTCCACCAGTTGTCAGTAAGTTTAGAAGATATGTACAATGGTGCAATGAGGAAACTTGCACTGCAGAAAAATGTCATTTGTGACAAATGTGAAGGTAATGTTGAGACTGAAACTAGAAAAATGTTTCTGAAGTTTTTGTTGTTTTTTTTTTTTTCTGGCAGCACATAACCACCCATSTCCAATTTTCATTCTCAGGTCGTGGTGGTAAGAAAGGTGCAGTAGAATGCTGCCCTAATTGCAGGGGAACAGGCATGCAGATCAGAATTCACCAGATCGGGCCAGGAATGGTGCAACAAATCCAGTCTGTGTGTATGGAGTGTCAGGGGCATGGGGAGCGTATCAGCCCCAAGGACCGGTGTAAGAGCTGCAATGGCAGGAAAATTGTTAGAGAGAAGAAGATCCTAGAAGTTCACATTGACAAAGGTGAGGTGTCTTGCTAAGGTGAAGTATTGAACTTGGATGTACTGACTGACTTTGCAGCACTAAAACAGAAGCTTTAGCAGATACGTGGTGTTGATTAGGTGAGTAACACTGTTGAATGCATATACAGTAAAACTGCCTTTATATGCATATACAGTAAAACTACCTTTTAAAATGTAGCAGACTTATGTTCACTTCTAAAGCTCATGCACATAACTAAGAGTGAATTCTGAAACCTGCGTTACCGTAAGCAGTGAATTAATTCTGAGGTCCCTCTAAGCACTATTCGTGATGAGGTAGTCTAATCAATTTTCACTGCCTGCAGTGAAACCCTGCAGACTCCGATCACTTCTGCTGTGTTTCAGTGTGAAGGGGAACCAGGTCTGCTATAATGATAGGGAGCAGAGACAGTGCTAAGCCTCTCATGCTTAGAACTCTGTTGGCTGCACAACCCTGACAGTGCTGCTCAGTGCAGGCACTATTTCCTTGCCTGGCAAAATGCAACTCGATACACAAACCCTAAATGTGATGGGTGAATGTGACAGTATTGAGTGACAGATGCATCTCTTTTGAGGGGGCTGCTCAAAAGCTGGTGGGAGAAGCCTCCGGAGTAGTGCAGCTTGTAAGACAGAGCAAGCTGACAGGTATATGGCTTTTACAGACTTGCTCAAGATTATAACATGCAACTGTTACACGTGTAAGCACAGCTTATGCAATGCCTGAATTTGTTTGGGAAATCCTTCAGTAATAGTAAATATGAGGACYAGTAGGGGTATGTTATTGACATTTGAACAGGGAAGTCTCGTGAGAATAATGGTTTTCTAAAAGAATAGAAAAGAGACTGATCATGCCTGAGGAAGYTAGTATTTTTGGTAGATAGACTTCTTGTGTGGATGAAATTAGTTTCTTGTGAGAGGGTTACAGTCCACAGGGAATGCTTCTTGCCCTTGGCAGGCACTAAGATGATATTTCATAAGGAGATGTGCCACRTATTTATAGAACTGAAGAAGCTAGTTGGTCAATTGCTCTCGAAATGTAGTTTGTACACAGTGTTTCTGSTTTCTTTTTTGTATTTGTGTGTATAATGAAAACTATTTTCATGGTATTTCCCTTCAGGACTTTATGTTGGTGGCTCTTTTGGCAATACAATTAAACTTGATGGTCTTGAGACATAACACTGCATTCAGGTTAGCACCACTAAGATCTGTTGGACAAGTGAGTGGATTAAAAAAAATAAAACCAAATGCTTCCAGGGAAGATACTGATATTTTTGCTTAAAGATCTAGAGACATCTTGGTACCAGCTCATGCCTTGTATTTCTTGTTGGTGCTTTTGTCTTAAAAATAAGGAAAAYGTGTATTTGTTTTTTGCAACAGGAATGAAGGATGGTCAGAAAATAACATTCCATGGTGAAGGGGATCAAGAACCAGGTCTGGAGCCAGGGGACATTATTATTGTCTTGGATCAAAAAGACCATTCTGTATTTACAAGGTAAAGACTCTTGAATCCTCTTATGTTATTTCCTATATGTATGTGTATAAAGAAACATGTATCCCACATGTTTCTTTAGTTACCACTCATCTTGAGCACACACTGGAGTGTCAGGAGATAGGATCACATSACTGGCTCTCAGCTATGAGCTTGTCTGGGTGGTCAGAGGAGCACTGTGGTGGGAGAATTCTGATGCAATTAGTCTGGCCACTTGTGTTCTAATRGCATGAGGTAATCTCTTGTGAGCTTTGGCAGCAGAAGGGGATAGAAGGCTAACAAAAGCAGTTAACAGTTAAGAGTTTGCAAATCTTTCATTTCAGGTACTCGTTGAAATACTGAAATTTTGTTTAGTAGTTTTGAGTGTTTGATCACTTGCTATCAATTACTTATCTTAGAAAATTGCCATTTAGTGTAGGCAGCCGTTGTCCACTTGGCCTYAAGGCATGGCAGACTTGGAATGTGTGTGCACATGTGTTCATGGATCTTACCTRGTACAAACTTAGACAGTTTGCAGTTAGCATGCACCCTTCTGATCAAATGTTGTTTCCCACCCTTTATTTGCTACCTGAGTGTAACGGGAAGGGTAATTGGTCCTGTCTGGTTTTTATTGTGAAAGCAAAAGTGACTCAAGTAGCACTGACCACATCTCAATTATTTCGTGTTCCCAGGCAGTACTGCTCAGTATTGCATCCTCCCTGTTTCATGTTACTGTTTGTGGAATTAGTTTGCCTGGTACATTTTGGTCCAGTTAAAAGCACCGCTGATGATCTTGCAGGAATGTGTTACATTTGGTGTCTCACTGCTGCTGTTTAGAGCAGTTACGAAGGAATCAGGGGTTTAGGGAAAGCACTTATTTAGCACCAGCCACTGACCTTGTGCTTGTAAAYAGGGATGGTGAGCCAAAGGTTCTTGGGAGACCTGCAGCTGGTCTGCCTGACTATCATGTAYGGTGCTGAGCTCTTGAAGCTGGTGCCAGCATTCTGTGCCAAGGAACACTGAGCTCACAGGTTAAGAATCAGTTCTGTTTGCTTTGGATAAGCTTACTCAGCTGATTTTTCTTAACTTCCAGTGAAACCAGACACTGAATCAGATAYGCCAAACAGTTCTCATGGTTTCCTGCGACATGAAGTCGCAATTCTGCTAGATTATTTTTGTCTATCCTTCTGCCCACTGCCTTCAGTGCTAGTGTCCTTCAATAACCCTTGATATTACTGGTCTTGTGGGGTTGTGCTCAGGTCATGCTCTCCCACAAGTGGGATGTTCCTCCTCTCCTGTCGGAGTCTAAAATTAGCTTTTCATTCAAGTCTCCTTCCAGGGAGCTTTTGAAAACAGAAAGAGTGCTCTACGTTCTTTGAATAGGCTGGAGGATTTTGTAGTCTTTGAACATGTAGATAATCACTAGCATTGCCATAGTGAAGTTAGAACACAAAGTGATTAACTCAATCTATTCCACATGCTTCTTGGTACTTTCTAAAAGGTATTTGTACCATTAACCAGAGTAGCCATCACCTGTTCAAACTTCCTTGGTAATAAWTCTTCAGAGTGTGAGTGATCACC